AAAACAGTGAGTTACTCTTATGTGTAAATCTTGTATTTGTCAAAGGATATGAACTTATAATCTGACTGCATGTCAAGGGTTTGAATTCAGTACATAGCACATTAGTACATATGGCCTTGTAGGAACCAGGATTCAAGGTTACAACTGACTTATGCATACAAAAATGTAAGACCTTGGAAGAACCAAGGTTACAACTTACTAGTACATAATTAAACCTTAGAGAAACCGAGGTAACAACTAACTACTGCATAAGATATTAGAAGAACCAAGGTTACATGTACAAATAAGTAGAACATAAGACCTTCGAGGAACAAAGGTTACAACAAATTTAAGTAGTCAAACATAAGACCTTGGTAGAACCAAGGTTACATTTAATTAGTACATAAGACCTTGGTAGAACCAAGGTTACAACAAACTAGTACATAAGACCTTGGTAGAACCAAGGTAACAACTACATGTAACTAGTACATAACTAGTACATAAGACCTTAAATGGTAGAACCAAGGTTACAACAAACAAGTACATATGACCTTGGAGGAACCAAGGTTACAACTAACTAGTGCATAAGACCTTAGAGAAAACAAGGTTTCAACTAGCTAGTGCATAAGACCTTGGAAGCACTAATGTTACAACATACTAGTAGTACATGTAGTACATAAGACCCTGGAGGAACCAAAGTTACAACCCAATAGTACATAAGACCCTGGAGGAACCAAAGTTACAACCGAATAGTGCATAAGACACTGGAGGAACCAAAGTTACAACCAAATAGTGCATAAGACCCTGGAGGAACCAAAGTTACAACCGAATAGTGCATAAGACCCTGGAGGAACCAAAGTTACAACCCAATAGTGAATAACACCCTGGAGGAACCAAAGTTACAACCTGATAGTGCATAAGACCCTGGAGGAACCAAAGTTACAACCGAATAGTGCATAAGACCCTGGAGGAACCAAAGTTACAACCGAATAGTGCATAAGACCCTGGAGGAACCAAAGTTACAACCTAATAGTGAATAACACCCTGGAGGAACCAAAGTTACAACCTAATAGTGCATAATACCGTTGAGGAACCAAAGTTACAACCGAATAGTCCATAACACCCTGGAGGAACCAAGGTTATAATTGAATAATGCATAAGATCTTGGAGAAACCTACTTAAGGTGTGTATGATAAAACCTTCACAAAATTCTATTCAATCAACTACATTTTCATGGAACTGAAATCAAGACGGAAATTATTTTATACTAATAGCAAAACATTTCACTGACACAGAACCAAACTCTGATATATCCGGACTAAATTATTCATGAAAGTTATGAAAAAAACCTAGACATTGCCCTTTTGAAGATATTAACTGTTAATTATGTCAAACTAAGCCACCATATTGTACAAGTAACATGAAGTATATTTAGAAAAAGGTGAACTATGTGTGGAAAGAGGACACAATCTGTGAGCAACCTTAAATGATATTGATCAACCAGAAGATTTTCTTTCCTTCCAGTCACACTTATTGATCTCTGTAAATATTCACAGAAACTCTCCCAAATTACACACCATCGTGAAGGTCAAATATAGTGTTATAACTCCATCTTAGTGCTGATTTAACGATGCTAAAAATGACACGAATTAAAATACATGGCTAATCAAATTTGCCGTATTTCTGCCAGAAATGTAACTATAGAATAATGGATGCCATTGATTTATAATGAACAAAACTTCTGGCAAATAATATTTTCCTCTGTTCTTTAGAAGACCAAACACAATCAGCATTCATTTGAAAGAAATGTTTTATAAACGGCCAATAATTAAGATGCAACAACCAATAATTAAGATGCAACGACCAATAATTAAGATGCAAATGACCAATAATTAAGTTACAAATGATCAATAATTAAGTTGCAAATACCAATAATTCAGTTGCAGGACCCTCTTTTGGTGGGAGGTGGAGACTATTTAAAAATCGCCTGTCAACTGGTTTTATACATTAAATTCTGTCACTAACTTCAATGCGCCATAAATAAATTTGTGTATACTGGCTCCTGGCTTATATTGAAGTGTCAAGAACGTTATAAAGAGGGTACATTACACTATATAAAGGTGACCATTGCCACAGTTTCGACTATACATGTATATACAGTGTATATATATATATATATATAGTGAGACAATTATGCTGGTTACACCACATACTGTACAGAAGTGATCAATGCATCAGTTATTGGATCTGTAATTGTCATCATCACAGTCTTGTTATTCTTATGTTTCACTGACTTTTTATTGATTCAATTGTATCAACTGGTGGAATGATACCCATAAACCAGGGCCGTTAATTACAAAACATCATTAAAAGTTAATCAACCAGAAATCTTACTTAGTGTTGAAAATCCCTTTCTCTCACCACGACACTTTCATAGAAGTGTTCATTTTTTATCTCTTTTTTTTCATGTTACAGTTATATATATAAGTAACAATTTGTTAAAAGATGTCAAATTAGTGTTTTATACCGGACAGCGCTAATTTACACCAGGGTCCGGAATAAGGCTCCATTCCTAATCCTAAATAGCCTCATTTTTCCCAAAACGGCAGACAAAAAAATTAAACAGTTCCTAATTATACTTATTGAAAAATTGGACTGTTTTTTAGACTCAGTTTCTTTTAAAACATGACAGGCTAAAAAATGATCATACACTTTAGGAAAATTAGGCACTTTCCTTAAACTCTGAAAAATTTTAAGACATAATATTAGTTAAATTTTTCTTAAAGTTGAACCAGTTCCATTTTTTGGGCTGCTGTTGTGATTTTTTTTTGTCTAAATTGAATAAAAAACTGCAAGATTATTTTTAATTGGGAATGGGGACTTATAAGTTATAATAGGCCCCTGGTAATTAAGCAAAAACAACCTGAATGGCAATGTCAGATGGCACACATAACATGATAACTTTTCATTGGCAGCAAAGGCTAGTAATGATTACATGTAGGTGCAACATCAGGTTTGCTACCATGCAAGTAACTTGAGTTAGGCAAAGTAACTTGAGTTAGGCAAATAATGACTAAGTTCAGCATGGGGTGGCTATATGTATATTCGTTAGCTATACTCTGCAAGTAACTGCAGCATCTTCACAAGTATATTTTCTTGACTTTTGGACTAGATAATCTGATAAAAAGGCAGATGACATAAGAATTAATAATAGGCATATGTATGTTATACAGAACAGAACAGATACTTTATTTTTGACTTGTACAATCATACATCGTCATACAAATAAAAACAATTTTACAATACATACTAACATAAATCACAAGATCGGATCTAAACATGTCTCTTTCATATCAATATAGAGGATGAATTATTAATATATTTAGTTGTATCTACTATATCTAAGTTATTTCTATGAGACATCGCATATCGTACATACAAAGATAAATTTAAAAGTATACTTCTATTGTTTGATATGATATGTTATACAAACTCTATAGAGTAACTGGGTGCATATTCATACCAGTACAACCTGAACAGTCCTTAGTACAAATGTATATTCTTTACAACAATTTTTTAAATGCCTACTATACAGCAATAATAAAACAAATTACATTTTTTAACATGTTAATACCTCCTCCACTTAATAAATTTAAATTACATGTCTCATTTCTAAATAAATACTCGACACATTAAAATGATTAATTTCAATTTAGATAGCATCAAATTGTTTCTGCTACATTATTATCAGTACAATCATCAATTGAAACATAATTATTTTTATTTTTCAATTCACTGCCTCAATAATTGTTTCTTCCTTACCATCTCATAATACCTTTACTATAGAAACATGTTAAAAATAATTATAGAATCTTTGGATGATAATCCAATTAAATTTTGAAATGCTATACTGTATTTATTACAGAAAAAGTAACATCAAATTGCCTTCAGCTGTACCGTATGATTCATCATAAAGATAATCTTCAAAGCTTTTTCAAAAACTAGGAGTGCAATATTCATCAATTGAAAGTGCAATATTCTTTACCTCAATTTTAGAAAAATCAAAACCAGGTGTAAAAACGAAAGGATGGGGATGGTTAGTCTACAAGTAAAAGAATCTTTAAAACATTCTGGTAAAGATGGTAAAATTTTAACTTGGCTGAATAGTGAATACTGTGAAACTTGAAAATGACTCATTTTAGCTGCATTCTCAATAGAATGGAAAAGGCTTGATTTCATTGATAAACCAATATTATGAGTCATATTTAGAGAACACACAATTGCCTTTCACTCAGTAAGCTATGGTTGTGTATTGGAAGTTTTTCCTCCATAATGAATCAGTATAACCTTTGTATACAATGCCTGAGAATTCATACCTGAATACTGATTATCAATCTTCTGGGCAGTGTTCTCCATTCCAAACTGGATTAGTTAGAGCAAATTGTTTGCAAATTAATACCAATTATTTACTTGATTTGCAATTTATTGTGTAATTTGTAATAGCAAATAGTTAGCATACAATGTACATTTGAAACTCAAATACATGAAAAGAACCTTTTAACAGTTTAAAGAATATTTAGAACACAGAAATTGGTAAAAGTTGTTGATGGGCCTAATAATTATATTATATCACACTTGAACAAAATTAGAAAGAAAAGAAATGATTTAAGTTAACAAATATTAGTAATCATTTGCATCCAATATTGAAATTTGCCACTATTATATTTTTTTCTGGCACAATTATGAATACTGTTAAAAGTTACATATTAAATATCATGTTTAATTCTACAAATTATTAACTTATTATTGTAATCAAATTTGAGGAAACTTGGTGCAAATAATGTTAGAAAATGCTTACAATTGTTCTCAACAATAAAGATTGAAACATTTAATTATGTAGGCTTAATTGATTATTGACTGAAACATTTACTAATGTAATAAATTATAAAGAAGTATAGTGAATGCAATTCATGCTATATCAAAATGATAAATGAAATAATCATATTACATATGTATTATACCTGTCTGGCCCTTTCCTAATGTTTTCTCCAGCTTGTATGGCCCCACATACTGATCTTCCCTGTCCCTCAGTGAATTCACACGATGATGGTGGTGAGACATGGTAATGAATGACACACTGTCCTCACTTACTTATTATACCATCAATTTCCTCTGCCTTTTTTCATTCCAATGCAAAAGGGTATGATTAAACTCCAGTTACTACATTTGTAAATACGATTACATTAACCATTAGAAACCTTAATTAAAGCCTCGTACTTAAATCTTATGGTTGAGACCCGGTAAATATTATTTTAATTTTCATAAATATTCCTTTAGTTGATAAATGTTTCATTGCGTGCAATTAAACCCATGTATCACTGCACTTCACCATTTTTATCAATTTTATCCATGCCCGGTCCAAAAAGAAATTTCATGAATAGTAAATAGGACCACTCGCAGCTAAATTCGGGTTAATTCCAAAAATTTACGTGCACATACGTACGGTAATCAAAACTAGCACTTTAATCACAACTGCACTGGTTTTAAACTAGCACAAATAACGAGAAATAGAGAAAATTGAGTCCTACATCTTCTTTTTCTTGTCAATCACCCCGATTATCGATTACACTAAATGACAGGTGCGCGCGCTGCAAAATGATCAAGGCACGTCACTCTTAACAACGGATGCAGCTGCTGTAGCCGATAAATTGCTATTCTTGTACGAGTTGTATCCCTTGATCTTGACAATACCCTTACAGTCTTAACTTTGAACAAGTATCACGTCCAGTGGTTAGTTCAACCACATTTTGATAAATTCTTTGTAAGCAAGTTCAAAATCATGCGTGTCTTGACTTTGAACCAAAACAAAAATCTTTATTTCATTGGAAGTAACTCTGCCTGTCGTCCTTAATTATTCTTGTGCAAGTTATCTCTCTTTCATTGTTCTGCAGCGATACCAAAATGATGAAGACAAAAGTAATAGAAGTAACAAGTAAAATGGTTTCCTGCGGGTAACATTTTTAATGATATAAAGATATTTCATATAACTATTTTCAACATTGTTTGGGGAAAAATAAACATTTGTTGACAATAATAAGGTATTTGGAGACTTGTGAACGTTGAATACCGCGGAGACCGGAGAAAGTCGAAAATAAAACAATTATTTCTTTTTAAGAAAATGATTAAATACCATTGTATGAATAATTCCATGTAAAAAAGGGAAAACACACACGTGTGCGCAGAAAATATCACTATTTATTATGGCAGCTGCCACTAAGAATGTTTTTAATTTTGTAGATGTTCACTGTAAAATTTGAGATACACATGTAGATATTAAAGAAACATTGATAATTTTCAAATACATCATGCCATTTTTATCACCTTAAATGGTAAAATAATGATAGTATATTAGAAATATCTCGTAATAGTTTTATGTTCTTAATTAGGTGTAATTCGGACTAATTCCCGAGAGGTAAATCCGTAACCTACCGGGCAAACGTTATTTAGCTAGGTTTTCGAAAAGGTCAATTAACCAATCATGTACGGTATACAGATCACATGCTCCTCCATGTACCGAAAACAGGTCACGTGCTCCTTCATGCCTCAAAAATTGAACGCGTACCAATACCCTGCGGGCCGAAGCCCGCAGGGAATAAAACAAGAAAAATGGTTTCCTGAGGGGCACATTTTTAATGATATAAAGATATATCATTTAACTATTTTCAACATTGTTTGGGGGGGGGATAAATAAACGTTTGTATCAGGAATATAGTTGACAATAATCGATCAATAAATCGAAGAACGTCTTTCGAAACTGGTGACCGTTGATGACCGAAGAAGGTCGAACATAAAAAAAACAATTATTTCTTTTTAAGAAAATGATTTAATAGGCCTACTATTTTATGAAAAATTCCGAGCAAAAAAAAAATAGAGTAAACACGCAAGCTTATGCAGAAAATATCTCTATTTATTATGACAGATGCCTCTACGAATACTTTAATTTTGTAGATTTTAACTATAAACACTTTATTGTTTGTAAAATTTGAGATACATATTAAAAAACATTGATAAATTTCAAACATATCATTCAAGTTTTTCCACCTTAAAGGGTTAAATAATTATAGAAAATTAGAAATATCACGTAATCGTTTTTTGTTCTTAATTAGGTGTAATTCTGACTAATTCCGTAACGTACCTGCAAACGGTATTTAGCCAGGTTTTCGAAAAGGTCAATTAACCAATCATGTACGGTTTACAGATCACATGCTCCTCCATGTACCGAAAACAGGTCACGTGCTCCTCCATGACGCGTACCAATACCCTGCGGGCCGAAGGCCGCAGGGAATAAAATAATAAATAGGTCATCATATATATGTATATTGACACCGAATCCAATACAATTATCGACTTAATTTAAATGACGTTTAAATGAATATTATTTTATTTCAATAAAATAATATTATTAATAAGATCTAATACGGATTTTCGGAATATAATCCTAGAATGCTCTTTAGCAAGATGTCGTGGAGATAGGACAGTGAGGAAGGTCACAACATTTTAATCTGTAAACTGATGAAGGTCAATTTTATTTAAGATGTCCATTAAAAACAGATGCTTCTTAAAAAACATTTAAAAAGTCTTCTGTCCTTGCATAATGAAAACTCGTGAAAAAGATTGATCCATAGGTCCATGGTATTTACCTCCCTAAAATGCGGTGAGGCCATGTTTTATACAAAACCAATGCTCAAAACGTACACCTCTCAAATTATTGACTGTTATTATATTAGGGAAATTTAGAAGTGATTGATTATAATCGTAGACAGTCTGTAGCATAGAGGAATATTCTTCCGAAGACACAAGAATTTCCGTGTGGAAATATGAAAATACAAAGTTTTCATTTCTGCGACATATAGTTATTGTTCATTTCTAAACCGATTATGACTACAGATTAATTTAGCATTTTCACAGATATACTAGCTCTTACATACATATTCGTAGGTATTTAGCTCCATGGCATTTGAGGTATTGAAACATCGCATCTTCTCGACCCTTTCCGTCAAACTTCGGATAAGAATGGATTATTATTGATAATCGCCGAGATGTACCGATTGCTATCGAAAGATTGCATGGATTGGGATTTCAGTGGATTTTAACTATAAGTAATTATAATAACATATTTACAGAACACAAATTATATTATTACTAAATTAATAAGAAATTACACAAAGTATTTAACCTAGGATCGAATGATTCAACTGTATTTTGCTTCTTTTCCGACTAAGTAGCATAGTATCTCGTGCGCACGAGATAAATAAAAACACAAATTTGCACCTCTGTTTCACCGTAGTAAAGTCATATTTTACACTTAAAAAAAATCAAAACGTTTTCCTTTTTCTTGGTAAAGGGTTAAACTTGGTGCTAGAAAACTATTGAAAATACAGTTGAAAAGTAGTCGAGTTTTCAGTTTCAAAAGTTAAAAATGAAAATCTGCTTATATTTCCAAAATTTGCATTTGAAGTACTTTTCAAATAATATAAAGATCTCAAAAATCGATCCACAAATAAAAAAAAATATTAGAATTTGAAAATTTGATTTAGACCTTTAATTACATGTATATACACTATTACAAGTTAATATAGTCTCTTTTTGCTGCTATAATGCTCTTTTTGCCAATCAGTGAATCTGCTAAATTCTGAAATGATGTCATCAGTCAACGAGTGAAATGTGCAATTATAAACACATTACGCATAACGTTCCATTTAAAATGTGACTTAATATTTAAACTGAATTAAATAAAATAAATCAAATAAAATAGACATCAGCAAGAAATTGGAAATATTATGTCATTTTTATGCCTTTATAATAACTGAAAGCGATCCAAATAATTTTAAAACCTCTATAATTACGTTAAAACTGAGCAATTGTCACACATTCGGGCACTCGAGGATTGACGGAAAAGACCGACAAGTTGCGAGGCATATTGCGATGACATTAACGATAACATAACGAGAGCAGAAACGTCTTTCCATAGATATCCGACTAATTGGTGACGTTGATTGGACTCTATTAATAGAATTTATTTATAGATATCAAAAGGAATTTCGGATTTTAAATAAATATATTAAACTTACAATTTTCTTTTTTAAATATACTGTGCGAAATGTACACATGTTATGGACATCAAATAGTATTGCAATTTGAATGATCAATGTGACAGAAGACTCAATTACCACTGGGAGTATTTTTGCTATATCCGAAAATTCCTTTCGCTTTCTAAATTTATCATCATACAAAAAAGACAAGTCGGGTGTGATTCTCCACTAGAAAGAGGTCAGCTGTTTGGAAATACACCATCGTCGAATATTAATCGGGATTATTTATATAACCATAAAAAGAAAACACGTCGTTATAAATTAGGTTATTGGAGCTTTCTTTTTGAATTTGCTTTGTGACAAAATTCAAATGACGGAATACAAGCTCGTCGTTGTCGGAGGTGAGTGAAAACAAGTGCTCCAATTTGTCGAAATTTTGTGGCGAAATGACATAAATCTGTAGTTTTTCTGCTAAATATAAAAGGTTAAAGTCCTTAACATAAAAATTTAACACGTTTATCGTTAAAAATAAAACAGCATGAACATGCATAATCAATTTTCCAATTTAGCGTGTAATTATAATTCGGATAGTAAAATATTCGGATACTGTTTCAAAAATTCCTCTAGTCTTTTTATTTAGCAATGAACAATGATACGGAAAAATGATGACAACAATATGACAAGATGCCATGCGTTTATTTGTTACAGTTTTTACAATAAGTGAATAGGTAGTAAATGGTTTGACCAAAAATGAAACCCCTCCCCCTCCCCATTGAGTTTGACTGCCTGATATGGTAAAGGGTCAACTCGGGCCCCAATTCGGCACCGGTCAACTCGGCTCACTTTAAATTAACAAATTAAATGTACTCACTTTTTATGATTACATGCATATTATCAATGCAAGCTGTTTTAAATAAAAAATAAGATATATCAAGTGTATTATTATATAAATTATGATTGTACATTGTACTTCTGCCGAATTAAAGTATAGATAGAAGAAATTTGATGGGAGCAGGACCGTGAATCGTTGGTGTATGACAGGGAGGAGATGAAAATGAGCTGTATGGACTGTGCTGATTTTTACGGCGAAAAAATGAAAACCTAAATGTGTCTTAGAAACACAAACACAAGTTTTCCTTTGATTTTGATTAATTTTATTCGGTTTAACAGATTTCGTTTCGTTCCAACAGATTTTCATGGTTTGTCAGACCGAATGTCTGACACTTTTTTTTTTTTAACTTTCGGGAAGTCTGGGTAATTATAATAATAGCAGTCCTTTATTTTTTTTAATGTCTTTCTTTACCAAATATCGATGGCTCAGCGCAATACTGGTCTAAGTGACATTTTTACCAAAAATCACTTTTTTACATATTTTAATAATGTAAGGTCAAATACACATTCTGTGAAAAGTTTAGGGTAATTTATGCTTTTTTTGCCTTTTTTATTTACATTTAAAATAAAAGACTATCTCAGGTAGATCAATTCCGTCAGTGCAATATAGGTCTAACTTGAGTTGGTCTCTTATTGCGATGTCAAATATATCACATTTCCTCAAAAATGCTTGAGTTAGACCTTAAATGTTTCACTTCCAGGTACAGAATTATATGCATATCCCATTGAAATGTGTTATAAAGAATGTGAGAATTCATGAAAACACTAGAAATTATTTGCCTCCATCAGTGCTTTGTATTAATCGCAAAATATTAGCCAATTGCATATCATGTACAAGTAACCTTGAAAAAAATTAATAATAATTTAGTGTCACAAACATTTATTTTGTCTTTGAAGTCATTACATCATACTCATACTGTATTATTTGATAACATAAAGTGCAGTTGAAACTATCATTTTTGTACAATTTAGTAAAAGACAGTGTATATTTCTCTTGCACACATTTAAAAAATGGAAAATAACACGTGTTACACTAGTGGATTCATAACCTCTGATCCCCTCAAAATATTCTTTTGTTTAGTTTGACCTTTGTTTAATCATATGCTGAGATTTCCTAATTCTTAGTTTTACACTTTGTTTCATATTTATAATTATCTGTTCTGCGTAAGATCATGTAAGGGGATAGACTGTACATTGTTTCACTGCCAAATCAAACTTAGTAGCACAATGAACAATTTCAGGGTTTTTTTGGGGGCGTTCTTGGGTTTTTATTTTCAAATAATGTATCTACTACTGTATCACTCTCTTTAATCAAGTAAAGTTATAAGTAAACTTTACACTATGAACTCCAGCAGTACAATGGCAACATAGCGTCAACATGTGCAAATCACACTCTTCACAATACTTATATTATGCTGTGTTCTCACCGCCAATCAGATCAACTCCATCAAGCACGATCAAGCGATCGGGTACCAGTCTAGCTCGGTCTGCATGCGTGATTGGGAGTGGTCGGAGCGGTCTAGCTTGGTCTGCATGGCTCGGGCTTCCTACCCGAATTTTTTGACATGTAGCGATCGTGTAGATAAGCGGTCAAGAAGCAATCGTATAGTGATCGAGTAGAAGATCTAGTGATCGAGAATAAATCGTGTAACAATCTAGTTTGGTCGGGTATACATCAGGTATACATGATATTACCCGATCTGTAGACGATCATCTCGACTTCTACTCGAGCATTTTCCGATCGCAACTCGACCTCTGTCTGATCTATTGTCCAGAATAACTAGACTGCTACCCGACTGCTACATGATCACACACGATCGCTTCCCGATAGTTATTCGACCATACACGAGTTCACATGACCTAGATAATATATAGATGTAAACTTATTAGCTGTTACAAATTGGAAGAAAGAGCAACTTCCAAATTCTCGATTACGATCAATGCGATCTGGTCGGATGGAAATCTGGCAATGATTGAGCAGAGGTCCAGCTTGGTGGGGCTTCATCGGGGAATTAATGTGATCGGGTTGATCGAGTTGATCTGATCTGCAGTGAGAACATACAAGCATTATTGATACAATATCTTTCTGTCTGATGTGATATGTGCAGAAAAAAATCAAAATATATATTATAATGACCTTTTCAGTTCTTGTATTCTGACAATTTTTTACATCACACAGCTCCATTGAATATTCGAGAGTGCAATTGTCAAAACTCTTTGACTTTTGTGGCAGAAACAGCTATAAGTTGATAAAAATGTTTCATTTTAGATCTAAAAGACATTAATTTTACCTATCAAATTTAATGAAATTAAAAATGTAATTCACTATCAACTGCTTTTGGTATCAGTGTCAATGACAAAATTCAAATCCATTGTAATTGTAATTAGTGCCAATCTAAGGTGTGTACATGGTGCTTCAGGTGTGCGCCTTTTCATATCTGAATGAGTAAGTGGTTGCAAGTGTTTAAAGCACATCTAACTTTACAAAAATGATTCTGAATTATATCATGTGATAACAATACTTTGTTCTATGAATACCTGATAGTGGGTTGTACTGCCCTACTTTTTTCTCTAAAATATGTTTGACAACCTCTTGTTATTTGGTCAAAATTTAGAGGTAAAATGACTTTGATATATAAAATGAAACACTTTTCTTAAGATATGCACAGTTTTCAGCAAAACATGTCATAAAATTTGCACATTTCACGTTCAAAATATACTCTAAACAGTTGAGAAAGTAAATACAAAATATTTAATAAAAGCATGGTCTAACAGCGGCTTTCATTTTTGAAAATATTTGATATTTATAAATGATTATATCATCAGAAAAGAGGACCACATACATTAAATTCATTAAGATTTAGCGCATAACAGTAATATCGGAATCACAGCATTTAAGCACCAATGGTGGTAATGGTGTGCATTGAGAAAATAAAATGTGTCTTCTTTGTACAAATGTGAGTTATACAAAATGTACATTAATCCCTGTTTTCAAACTTTGATGATATCATAATATATACCTGGATTGTCAGTCATCATTGTTCATGACTACTGTTCATAACACTATATGAATCAAAACTGTTTGCATTTTGTTTAGAATTCAAATTTATTGCACAGAAAATCTGCAAAAGATCTTAAGTAAATCTGAATGTCAAACAAATTGAAAAAGAAGAATTATAGAAGTGTACTTTCATCTAAAGTCAGCTAGCATGATATATTTATAGAAAAATATTAAAGGATTTAGTCTTTGTAAAGTTCTTCTACAGACTTGCAAAATATTTTAAACAATGTTTAAATTAACAAAACAATTTTGTTCAAATTTATATCAGAATATTTAACATAAAACAGGTCTAACTCAAATATTTGTACCACTTTTACCAAATTGCAAGAGGGAATTTGAGTCTAACTCAAGTTAGTCTTGTATTGCGCTCAGAATTTCAGTGCAATAAAGGTCTAACTCTTAAATTCACAATTTGTAACACTTTAATAAAAAATTATATAAATGGCATTATTTCTTATTATAATTAATGTTAACATAGCAAAAAAATATTTTCTAATATAAGTATATTTGAATAAAATCAGTTTTTTGTCTCTCCTGAACATTTTCAAAAATAGCAGTTAGACCAGTATTGCGCTGAGCCATCGATATGTAATAATAATTTAAGAAAACATCTTTCAACGTTTGTGAATAAGTCCATATATATAAGTTACTTATCTGGTTCCAACAATAAAGGGTAATGAAATAACCAATATATTAATAAATTGAATAGTGGGGCGAGTTGACCCGTGCTGAGTTGGAATAGGGCTGAGCTGACTCCGGGCCATGACGTTTTAGGGCCGAGCTGACCCTGATTCACCTGGATGAGTAATGATTTGCCACAAAAAGTTGCCACAGTAAATTAATAATTGGCCAGAGTGAGATTTAATTAATAATTGCAAAAAGACATGTGTTCATGGAACACACAAGAACACTAGTCAAAATATATTGACGTGCCAAAGCTAGATTCTGATTTTTGTTTTGGGTCAGAATCTTGCTTCTACGTCGTAGTGAGGAGAATAAAAACTGATATTGCCCATACACAAAATAGGCTTAATAGCAAAATATCTCATTGCGTAGTACAATTAGTTGGGTTAACAAGAACCCATACGATATATGATACATTAATTTTGTTGATTAAAAAATGCAAGTATTTCTAAAACAATTGTCACACATTTAATTTTAACTAGCCTAACATATCCATGTATTATTTTTTGAATTTTAATTTTAACAGTTGTGATGAATCGTTTTTTAACTATGGTGAATCGTTACATTACTTACTGCCTAAAATGGTAGTCACCAAGATATCCTGTGAGCCAGTATATCCAGTGTAGTGCCTTGTAAATGGTTCAATGTTGAGGCCACATTCAAACTTTGGACATATAAAATGGAATGATTATGATTGTACGGAAGCTAAAAGCTGCCAACTTCATGAAAGCATTTTATTATGATATGGCCATTGAAAAGATATTATAAGAACAATTAATTTAATTGATAAAATTTTTATAAATTTATATTTTATCTAATTTAAGTTATTGTGTATTTTCAGCTGGTGGTGTTGGCAAGAGTGCACTTACTATACAGCTTATACAAAACCAGTAAGTATTGTTTAATTTAGTAAATTAACACTTACCCTGATTGGGTGTATATTGCCCGAACTCAGTGGAGCGCTTTGGTTATTACAACATGCAGTAACAACACACACTCATGTCTCCACTAAACAGGAATCCTCATTTCAAGGTCGGTCCCGAATTTTCCTTTATATTTTCATTGTGTAAGATGTAAGGCCCCCACAATTACACGTTTAAACAGATTCGTTTCGATTTTCATTCATAAACGTTACCGATATTGTTTACCATTTAATGGAAATGACCATACAATTTCTTAATCATTGTCCGTCATCATGGATTTTATCAATTCTAGTGGTTTATTCCAAAGTAAACAAACGGAAAATAGGTGTTTACAACCCTCCACACAGCATTACGGTGCAAAATTGCTCGTGACATAAAACATTTTTGGTAAAAAAGGGGGTTACAATGCAAAAAATGTGTGCTGACTCAATCGTGATGAGCCCTGCACATTCTTTATTTGTACATGTATAAAAAATAGAAAGAAAGACATCATTTGGCGACTCAAATACATGGTGTGTATAGTACATAGAGGTACCACCGTTTAAACGGTATCGTTTCGGTTCTTAGCAATCGTGTAAACGTTTACAAAAAATTGTAAACGTGGGAGCCTTAGTAAGATGACTAAGGTCCTCATGAAACTGGAAACTCAATATTCGGGATACCGGACAGAAAAATAAAACGGGAATAATTTGTCACATTCTATGATGTTTTTCCTAGCCAAACTGGACATCAATGTATGTCAAATGTATCTGTGCATGATTACAATGTCATTTGTGAGCAGTAATTTCAGACTGTACCTCCTTTTAAATTGCACCTTTAAAAAATAGAAGAATAACGCTTTTTACATGTAAGTAATTCAAATAAAGACTGTGTGGCAATTTCTTTCGTGAAAAGAAGGATTAATCAATGTTTGTTGCAGAAAAAATACACTTTAATGTTAAGCAATAGCATTTTGGTTTTTATTTAAGACATCATTATTTAGATAAGATAAGAGAGTATCTATTTATATCTCATTTAAATCATAACAAAATTACTATCATTGCAGACTTTCCAGGCATTGAAAATTATTTTCAGAGTCACTTAGCTACTAAATCCACTGTGCAGGCAACATTTTTACTACTCTTCCTGCATCAAATTCTCTTAAATTCCGCTCGTAATAGCGAGCGGACAAGTGTTTTTTCTTTAAATGTTATAATTATGTTGTTTTGTTTTACTTTTTAACTGGTCATGAATAAAATTTGTTATCAGCTAAAAGTAAGGATTTAATAACAAGATGTACAAGTAAGCAGTGAACCAGCATCCTCGCTAATCCGAAAATTTTGTCCAGTCCTGACTATGTCCGGTTTGGTTTGGAGCGTTTTTATTGTTTTATGATTTTTCTTGAAATTCTTTGGAAACTTTTTGATTTTGATTTTATAGACAGGTTAGACTGTATATGTATGTATGTAATATGATATCCAGTTATCCTGATTGCTTGTCTTCAATTTCACATGAGGGTAAATCTACCAATGATATATGTATAATTATGTATGTATAATTTCAAGACAATTAATGTACTTGTAATGTAAACAGAAGACTTGATTATAGTATTAACTGAAGAAATTAAGAACATGAAATTATTTGAATATATATTACTAACACAAGTTCCAGAACAAGATATTCCTACATGTATAATTATTAACCGTTTTCATTTGACATGTACACTGCATGAAATATGACCATAATTCTAAATGATAAAATGGAGTAAACTATTTTAACAATTTGCAATATTTGAATGAATACTTTCCTAGCTTATGTCCCAGGAGTATAATTACTATGCAGAAAATAAGAGAAAAACATCATGGGAAGTTAAACCCCATCACGGGCATGGTTAGTTCAGCCATGCAATTAGCAATAGTTTTAAGTAGGCGATAGATGTGCGGTGTCACTAACACCACACCATACATATTTTTAGATGACTAGACCTATTTTTTCCCTGTGAACAGCTGCATGCAGTAGGTGGTTAAGATTTTTATTTTAGTTCTATATTTTCTGTACTTTCAGCTTTGTGGAAGAATATGATCCAACTATTGGTGAGTATAATTCTGATATAATTCCTCAAAGGCACATTACGCCTCCGAAATGAAAAAAATATTTTTTTGTAGAATAGGCAAACGTATGTTTTATGTTTTATAATGTTGTAATAATGGATAAATTTAGAACATTTAAGATGCTTATCATCTAAGCAGAATAGCATTGAATGTTATATGTAAATAAATTGTGATAATGAATCAAAATGTAAATAAAGTGGTATTTTGACTTCTGTACCAAATATTACAGTAAATCTCAGACTCTTTAAGTGTACTAACTGCTAAAATGCAAAAGAAGCAAAAGATGGCTCTGGTACATTTATATGCCCAATGAAAACTATAACAGGACACCAAAAATAAAAAATGTGTGTGAAAAATAACAATGATTTTTTTATTTTTTTTTTGCTAAATCGGCCTTTAACATAAATGTAGTAATGTCCAACTGTTATATGCGTACATGGATCTTCATTATGGCAGTAATTGGTTAATTTATCCTTATTAAGTCTCGTTAGTATTATGGTGAATAGGTTAATTATAAGTATTGATATGAAGATACAAAGATAACAGAATGCTGAAATTTTGTTATCAAGTTAGACCATGTTAGGGTTCAACCATGGCACCCTAAGAAGCTGCCAGATTATGACACTCATCTTTCCACTGTACACTATTACACTGAAGGCATAATATTTAACAGATATTCTCCCGAGATTAATTGTACCAATCTGTATAATATTTGAATGATATTCTCTCTTTTGTTTAAGTAAATGGGCTGTATTAGTGAGTGGCTACAATGTATACTTAATATTTGTGGAAATAAATATATGTGCATACATAATTACTGTTGTAAAATCTGCAAGTTTCCAAACAGTAAAACTTATATTATACAGTGCTTGTATAGAAAAAACAATTATTGAGACCTTTAGATGAAAAGAGTATAATTCCTGCTTCGTTAGAAGTTATAACTTGCTGGTTTGATAGAGTTGCCCTGCTTTGTGGTGTTATAGATTTGCCCTGCTTTATGATGTAATGGATTTGCCCTGCTTTGTAATATAATGGATTTGCCCTGCTTTATGATGTAATTGATTTGCCCTGCTTTGTGGTGTAATAGATTTACCCTGCTTTGTGGTGTAATAGATTTACCCTGCTTTGTGATGTAATGGATTATCCCTGCTTTGTGATGTTATAGATTTGCCCTGCTTTGTGAAGTAATGGTTGGATTTGCCCTGCTTTGTGGTGTAACATATTGGCCTGCTTTGTGGTGTAATGAATTTGCCTTGCTATGTGATATAATAGTGGATTTGCCCTGCTCTGTGATGTTATGGATTTGCCCTGTTTTGTGAAGTAATGGTTGGATTTGCCAGGTGCTTTGTGATGTAATATATTTGCCCTGCTTTGTGATGTAATGAATTTGCCCTGCTTTTTGATAAATGGATTTGCCCTGCTTTGTGATATAATGGATTTGCCCTGTTTTGTTGGGTAATAGATTTTGCCATGCTTTGTGTTGTAATTGCTTTGTCCTGCTTTGTTGTGACAGTCCATTTTGAAGTTTACAGAATTTCTGTATCAAAATATAAATAAAATGAGCTTCCATCAGTAAAAAAAGCTAGGTCAACCTACACAGTATGTGCAGTCTGGTCTGACCCTTGACTACAGTTCAAAGGTTAAAATCTTTTTCCATGCCAGCAGGTTATGGTTTAAATGCTGGTTTATATATATAACAGATTCATAAGTTAAAAAATATGTAAATGAGATTTCTTCCCCTCTGGTTGAAAGTTTATCTCAGTTGATCTCATTCATTTTTTTCTTGTGCAGATTTCTTTATAAATGTATTAAACATTTATTTTTATATATGAGTGATATTAAGCCTGTGGTATAATTATGCAAATCTCAGGCTATGTATTTTTCTGTAGTTGAAGAAATATATAATGATAATAAGTATATTCATATATATTTTACTGTTCAGGCACAGTATAAAGCTCTTACTGGTTCATTTACATGTACATGTATGTCGCTTTTGAAGGATACTGTATTTAGCTTACTGATTCTAAATTGATAAGCATTGAGCTGGTTTGATCACCAGACATCTGTTATTCTTTCTTATCCAACAGTTTCTCTAAACATTACTGAGATTACATCTTTGTCCCAACCAAAAATCACAGGAACTATTTTTAGACAGTCTTACAAAATAAAGTTTTATTGAAAAAAATCCTGTGTGACTCATAAGTAGCCAAAGTAGGTTATTAAAAATATACATGTACATAAATTTCTAAGGCCAAAACTTTGGTACATGTACATTGTATTTTTGTTGTACGTACATGACTTACAAGTAGCTTTATCAAATGCGGTAAATAAGTTCAGTGTATTTTAAAAGTGACCTTTTCAAGTTAAGTAATGTTGACTTGAATTGGCAAAACTCTTCTTGAATTGTATATATGGGGCCTCAAAATCATTGTTATGGAGTCAACCTAGTCTTCTGGAAGTTATTACTTTTGTCCATTACTGAGGTGAGCAATAAAGGGCCATCATAGGTCTGTTGTTATAATATTGTTACAGTTGGGAATTTTGATAATTGAATATTTCAATGACATGACATTGTACGTCATTGAAAGAAATTTGTTTTTATATTACTAATCTCTTTTTTTAGTACTTCAGTAATCATTTTTCTTTGAAATATATCCTGTTGAAGGTCTTGAAAACCGGTAGATCCTACAATAAACCAGTCACAAACCATCCTGATGTTTGATATGTGTTCTCTCCTCTTGATTTACTTGTTAATTTTACTATTATAAAAAAATGATAGGAAGCTTACTTGTTCTTGAAATAGATAAATGATTAGGTTTTTAAAATAGAAACTGTCAAGTATATTTTGTTGTTGACATGAAAGAGGTGATGAGAGCATTTTCTTGGAATTTTCAAAACTTGTACATTTTCTGTGTTTCCAGATAGATTTAATGATAGATTTAAGTTCCTGTTCCAGTTCCAGACTATGATGTAAAATATGACATGCAAATTATATATGTTTGTTTTGTTGTCACGTTGACATTGGAAAGGTCATTTATAAAGTAACTTTTCGGCTTTACTGATGGTGGAAAGTCCTTGAGCGCCCCTCCATGCATTATTTCAGGCACACAGGGTTACCTGAGTGGAACGGCTGAACCATCAATGTTTTCGGTAAGGTGGCTGGATGAGCTTCCTTACATGAAAGAATCTCTAAAGTCCTTTGCACGATTCAAACCACAGTGTTGATGGGCAAGTGGTTTAAAGTCAACAACCTTAACCACTCAGTCACAGACACCTCTTTACGAGAAATGTACATTGTATATTTTTCACTTTACATATAAAATTATATGTAATATCAGTAGTAACCATCTACATGTAGTATCACATAAAAACATTTTATAGGTACTGTATCTTTTATCAGTCTTGAGAGTTTCTATAAGATGCCTCCAGGATAATTTTCTGTAGATAAAAATGAAGTGTTAGAATTTTTATGGAATTTTACATAATGATAATAATTATATTAAATATTTTAGCGGAATGTATTCTTTGATAAAGAAGATAACTAATGTGTGCGTATGATTCACTCACAGTGCCGGTGCAAATTGATGTTATTGTATGAATAGGGAAACAGGAAATCAATTCTGAGACCTGTTACAGCCATGTGGTAGAATGAAAGAATCTGGTGTGATATTGTCTCCACACCTCTTTGTGCAATGATTTTGATATGCTAATATTAAATTATACAAGTATGCTGGGTAGGTTGCCTGGACTACTGATTAACAGAGATTTTCTGATATCACCCTCCTGATGTTCATTGTATATTTCAATGAGGTCATCAGACATGATTTGTCTGTTTACTGAATACCTGTGGTTGTTTATGGAATTTAATTTTCTAAATTCAAGCTAGGTTTACTGAATTTCTGAGTCTTTGTAACTGAATTTTTGGGTCTATGTGCAGGTTGTCTAAATTGAATTTCTATGGTACTGTCATGAATTGTAAATGTGCAAGCTGTGTTTTCTACTAAATTGCTATGTCTAGAGATTTGATATTTGGCATGTATATGAAAATGTCGCATCATTTTTTGATCTTCAAATGTTACAGCTGAGCTAGAACTTAGTCCAGTGGTCATTGTCTGTCATTCCAAATGCAGAAGTCATTAGTTGGTTGTTTTATTAGAAATTAGTAAATTATTGGTTAATTGTTAACCCGGAAAACCAATAAGATAGATTGACCGCCAAGATAAGACAAACTGTTGAACGTGGCATAAAGAACGGGCAAACAAAAAATCATTATTTGAACAAGAAAATTTAATAACATATAATTTGACACGATTTGAAGAAATTGTTACATGTAATAAGGTTATTTTGTTTTTTTTCACAAGAGTTAACAAATATCCCCTTATGTTCTAAGGTTAATCAGTACAAATAACTTTGATGTTTGTCAGATACTTAGCTCATATATACATGTAAATACAATGTAAGTCTTGTTCCACTTAATCCAAAAATTGTTTATCTATATATACTCAGTGCTCTTAACCTACAATGTATTTATTTTATAAGAATGAGTGAAAATATAGTTACATCTAGTTTTAGTGTTTACATTTATATATGTCTGAGTACCACTGAATACTTGATCTATTAATATTAACCCTTAACATGAATTTCTTAAATGGACATTTCCAGCTTCCCTTTTTATCAGAACTATCCATTATCAATTTAAGGTGTATTTGACAAGATAAAAATGTAAAGTTAGTCAGCTGACAGTATAAAACCTGGTTTGTGCATGCTGGCCTGGCGCTAGGCTTATCCGTTTTGGTTCCAGCCTGGTTAAGGCTCAGAAATGATGTAGACATGTAGAGGTGTATTTTGTTACAAAGTTGAACTGTAAAACATGCTGGGTTGATCTTATCAAGGGAGAGAACTAGAGACTAAAAGTTGTGAAATATTGTGGACAGTAATTGGGAAAATTTGATAGTATTAGACAGCGGTTAGGGCATTTGACAAGTTTAATGTACGATTAATTATATGGAGATAGTAGGGCACTTTCTTAAACATGCTATTATAACAATGGACAGTTTAGTATCACAATATCTGTAAATCAATTACTGTAATTGTGTTGATAAGTTTTGTGTGAGAGTATTATGGTCAGACTTGCCAATACAAGGAAAAATATACCATGATATATGAAGATATTTTACTAAATATCACCATATTTTATACCAATATCCTGCATGGGGATAGTAAAGGTTTATAAAAAAACACACAACAATTGTAAGAAAGATTCAGGACTGCATTTTATAACAAGAAGAAAGTTGTTAGTAGTATTAAAGAGAAATAATGTTATGTATCATGTTTGACTAGAATTGTAACTTTTCTACTAAAAAATGAAAGACAGTTTAAACTGTATTAGCTAGTGGTCACCATTTTATAGCATGACCCTGTCTTTAAGTGTTCATTTGAAGTCTGAAAAAATAAGACTTACATATTATGTGCCCTGTGTATAACACCGGAGCTGAGCTTAAATCTTCTTTCCTATTTCATATGCATGCAGCTCCATGTGACCTAAACTGTCTATGCGCCATAAAACCAAACAAACAAACCCTGTGTATAATATTACCTTTTGTATAACACTTAAAAGTCTGTCAGCTGCCAATATAATGCATATTTTGGTCTTCAAATTGACTGTAAAAGACAGGTTACTACAATTGCTCACTTGTCTTAATTAAAGTCCACACTCTTGGATGTCACCAGTAGTTGCTTTTGAAAACTTAATTTAGTTGCAGTCTATGCTTTGTTGGGAAAAAATTCTAGAAATTTGTTATATTTATGATTTAGTTGTAGAGTTCATAACTCATAACCAAATATACGTGATAATTGTATCGAGAAAATACAACAGTGTTCCTCGGTGATACAGTAACGAGTTGGTACCATGGTTACAGTTATACCAAACATATTAGTCTTTACTAATTGTTGTTTACTGGTGGCTGGTATGATTGAGTTATATTGCCTTACATGTTTGATGAACATTGAGTTTAGACAAGGAAGTATTAAGATAAAATTAACTTCTTAGTTCGACTTTTCGAAGAATAGGGAGAGCTACATGTATTGTCAAGGCTTCCCTTAGTGAAACTCCTTAATTTTGGTATACTACTCCTTAAATGTAATGCATTTCCTTCTTAATATTCTTTATGATAATGTACCTATATATTATAACAGTTCCAAATGTTATTCCCTGACACGTCATGGTAACAGTTTAAACTGTTCCACAAACACCCATGAAATAACTGTATACTGTCAACCTTTTGATACATTACATTGACAACAATTAAGTTTCACCTTTAAATATTTAAAATATTCTATATATTTACAGAGGATTCATACAGAAAGCAGGTTGTGATAGATGGCGAGACATGTTTACTGGATATACTTGATACGGCCGGTCAGGAGGAATATAGGTCAGTATATAACTTCTAACATATCATAATATTATCATAGAAAGGTATCAAACATATCACAATATTGTCATAATTAAGAAATAACATCGGCCTGAGAGGTGTATATCGGCTATTTAACACCGGTTTGGAGTTTTGATGCGTAGGAATTGACCACGAAGGCCGTAGGCCTGAGTGGTTAATTTTGTCGCATCAAAACAACAAAACCGGTGTTAAATAGCCGATATACACCTCTCCGGCCGATGTTATTTCGATTCTAACATGATAAAATAGGGAAAATTACCTATGTTATTTTTCAAGCGGAAATAACTTCCGGTGCCGATTTTTGTATAATGCTGTTCGATTTTCGCACCCTACTGTTGCAAAGATATAGAAATTATCAAACAAAAGAAATAATAAGAAAAAAAAACGTTATTTTATCAAGTTTTTCAACAATAAAAACTTACGTTGAATTGTGCTTAGGTCAGTGCCCCATTTATCATTCTTGTATGTGTGAAATAACGTCAGCTTGTTTATGAATGAGTTGTTTACTTAGGATGACGTCATTACGCTGCTTATGGATTGGCCCCGTTTTGTCAAAATATTTATTAACTGATATGGATCTAATATGGGGCGTTAGTGTATGTGAGATATAATTTCGGTATTGTTTGAAAAGAAAACATCATACGAACTGAAAATATAAATAAAAATGCTTTTTATTGTTGCTTTAAAATACTTTGTAAACTATGTGAAAACATAACAGCGCATATACAAGTAGTCCCTAACCGGTGTTTATTGGCAGTTTAACACCAGTTTTTTTCCTTCTTTGTCTATAGTGACAAAATCACGTGAGTGTTAGAATAAGATATCAAACATATCACAATATTGTCATAGATTAAGAAAGGTATCAAACACATCAAAATATTGTCATAGAAAGGTACATTTTGTATCAAACATATCAAAATATTGTCATAGAAAGGTATCAAACATATCAAAATATTGTCATAGAAAGGTATCAAACATATCAAAATATTGTCATAGAAAGGTATCAAACACATCAAAATATTGTCATAGAAAGGTATCAAACATATCAAAATATTGTCATAGAAAGGTATCAAACACATTACAATATTGTCATAGAAAGGTATCAAACATATCACAATATTGTCATAGAAAGGTATCAAACATATCAAAATATTGTCATAGAAAGGTATCAAACATATCACAATATTGTCATAGATGGGTATCAAATGTTTTACAATATTGTCTTAGAAAGTTACCGGTATCAAACTTACGATACTGTTATAGAAATGTGTCAAACATATCACAAAATACGGTCACAGATACTGGTATGTCACAAACTTATAGTATTGTGTCAAACATATCACAATATCAGCACAGAAATGTCACAAACATCAAATATTATTACAAAGCAAATATCCAATATTGTCATTGAAATGTATCAAACATATCACAAAGTATTGTCACAGAAATGTCACAAGATGAGAAATATATCCAACAATGTTGTCACAGATGAATGATATATGAAACAATTGTCACAATATTGTCACAGACACGCAGTTATGTTTGAAATATTTCAGAAATAGAAGGAAAAAACATTTGCTATGCGGCTGTAGTACTGCAGTTCCATGCTGTATAATATATACATTTTACACATCTTATTTTCAGTGCTATGAGAGATCAGTACATGAGGACAGGGGAAGGCTTTTTGTGTGTATTTGCTGTAAATAATGCAAAGTCTTTTGAAGATATAAATCAATATAGGGAACAGGTAAGATAATTTTGTTTGGTTATTTTGTCAGATTTAAAGGCGCACATACACTGTAAAAGTCATAGGGTTGAATTTCCAGTTTAACTGGTTGAGGAAGACCTTAGGTGCCCCTCTATGCATTCTTTAAGTCACAACATGGCACCTGAGTGGAACCACTGACCTTCTGTAAGTTAGCTGGATAGCTTCCTCACATGAAATCCAATGTCCCAAAAAAGATTTAAATCCACACTGGCACAGCATTGAGGGGTAAGTGATTTGAAGCTGGCAACCTGTACCATAGTATAATAATTCATATCTTTACATTGAAATGGTTTCAGGATCTAAACAACTTGAATCTTTGTTATCTCACCTGATTAAAAAAAAAATCTGAGTGTTTAAGAAACCTTTTCAGGGCAATTTGTCATTTTTGCGTGACAGCTCTTGTTCTATTTTTATATGCTTCTAACATATAGGAATTGAACTGGTTGTCAGACAGTGACTTTTGTATGGTAAATTGATTTCTTCAAGTTGGATTAAGATGTATCTAGGTTGTATGTGTGCTTATGCTGATGTTAACAATAGATTTTAAAAATACAGTCTTTAAAAATCATCTTCTCTTAAACTGTGAAGCCTAAAGGTTAGATATTTGGTGTGTAGCATCTTGTAAGGAAATTCTCCCTTTTCCTTTTAAACTATGTTTTGTAAATCTTTTCTCCCTAACCACAATGCCTGGAGTTTAGGCTATTTGATGTTCTGCGCTGCAATTGAAAAAATAGAATATTGATCATTGAGTCATCTTGTATTGTGTGATTTTACTGTAAATGTTTTATGAGAGTGAGCATTTGTAACAAGCATATTTTTGAGAAAAATTGGCACTCATTGTTTTATTTAAAGATTTTAAAGTTTGTTGGATGATTATAGATCTATAGTCAAACCACTCTTACGACTGCATGCAAGAATAATCACATGTTAACATGTTTGGTATGAAAATTTTTTTCAGATTAAAAGGGTAAAAGATGCAGATGAAGTTCCTATGGTTTGTAAGTATAACATGATATCTTATATATATATTCCTACAGCATCATTATATTTCTGGCCTTATTTTGTTATTGTTAACAGAAATGATAATAAGATTTCATTGAATATTGTTTTGTTTAAATACATATATTTGTGTTTGACAAGAAAGTTTGTATATTTAAAGTTAAAGTTGTTTAAAACTAAGGTAGGAATGGTTTGGTTGGTGTTATAAAATCCTATTTATCAACATTTTGACTGGCTTCACAAAGTTAATCATTTTTTCATCGACTTTTGTACAAGGTAAGTTAGGAATCAGTAAAAGAGATTGATTAAAAACTTGTTTTCACTTTCAGACTAAAAAACAATGTGTCAAAACAGAACTTAACATAAAAGAGATTGATTAAAAACTTGTTTCACTGTCAAACAAGAATAAATGTGTCGGAACTGAACGAAACACTAGTTGTACAATATTGAAACAATTTCACAGAAATGAACTTTAATGTAATTTAATGTCTGATGATTTTAGGTTAACTATAGTTATATTCTTGCATAAAAACTATGCACGCATGTGAACAAATAATAAACATGCATCATACATTATTATATATTTTTATTAATGCGCATAATTCAGTACACAATGTAAATATAGCTGACTGCAGTATGCCATGTTAATTTCATTATGAAAACAAAACTATCAAATGATGTAACTTCAAATGGCGTATTATAATCATTGTAAAACTAGACCGGTATCTTTATACAAAAGAAAATCAATGAAATACAAAATAACCGACTCAGACATACACTTTTATGCAATAGTAGTGCAAGTGCATCTTTGTTGTGTTATAACATCTGTAGAAGCCCGCAGCATTATTAAATTCCTTGACCTGCGGGCTCAGGCTTTAAAAATAACCCCTCTTTCTTCTGCTGATACTCAGTCACGAAAAAAAAAAAGGTGCGTTTATCCTCTATTATTGTCTTATTTTGTAGTGGTAGGAAACAAAGTAGATTTACAGAGTCGGAATGTAGAACAAAAGCAGGCGAAACAAGTAGCGGAAAGTTATAATATACCTTATGTAGAAACTTCAGCTAAAACTAGACAAGGGGTTGATGATGGCTTCTATACACTCGTCAGAGAAATTAGAAAATTTGTAAGTATTATAGTTTATATTACGCAGATAAGATGCATATGTGCATATCTTATTAAAGAGAAATGGCTAAATATGCATCACCTTTTAAAGTTAACGACTTAAAATATGAATACAAATTTGTATAGTAACAATTTTGTAATGTAAATACAGAAATGATAAAATTGCAATTTCATCTATTAACATCATCTATAAATTCTCACACATGTCAGCATGCTAAGTGGGAAGTCAATGATGAGGTAACTATGGTGACCATTTGATTCACACCCAGCAATTGGTCATCAACACTGTTTACAGTGTGTGAATTAAACGGTCACACTGCCAGTACCTGATGTAAATAAAAGCATTGCCTTTATTTCATAATAGATAGTTTCACAGAATTTTATAGATAGTTTCACAGAATTTTTTTAAAAATCTTTCCAACAACAACAAAAAAGCACTAAAAAAACTTGATTGCATGTTTTACTCAGGTGCCCGTTTATGGCTGAAATAATGCACGGAATGGTGCCTAAGGTCCTCCTACACTTGTAAAGCTAAAAGTTGCCATATGACTTGCACTGTGTTGGTGTGATGTAAAACCTAACAAAAAACAATCCCTTGTATTTATAATGCATATGTCAGTATGAATTTTCTAAATAAAGGTCAAACATGATGATTTGGCATTATCTGTATTGTAAAGATTTGATTTGTTTATCCATTACAGAAAGACAAGAAAGGAAATAAGAAGAAGAAGCCTAAGAGAGGGTGTGCAGTATTGTAATTATCTTTTTACCTTTATATAGTTACTCATTTCTGTGTATTATCTCCGGTATACCCATCATTATACTTGTTTAAATACAACAACAACAACAGTAACGACAACACATATACAACAACTAAGAACTAGATGAAGTTATAAAGGAATAAATGAGACGATTTAAGTTATGCGAGTCAGGTTTGTGAAGAGTTTCGTTATCGAAGTGTTATCATTCTATTTTGCGCCAACGTATAAATTCGTACATCTCATGACCTTTAACCTTTGTAATAACACGATGTTTGTTTTCACGTGCTAGAACTCGTTTCTCATCACTTTTTGTTTGAATATTATGCAAGGTTACAGCTTATATTAAGTTTTTTTTATGTATTGACATGGATTGTTGAATTTGAACATTTCATTTTTAACATTTTTTTTTTTAAATAAAAATAAAATGGAAATTGTATCACCTTTAAGGACCTTTTGTCTATTTTTCATAAGTTATAGATTTGTTTTTCTATTTATGGTTATTTTAGAGACTCGTACTTTGTGTTACAAATATGATTCGATATTGTAACAGAAAGACGGGACCTTATGCAGTTAGAATATATTGATAGAGATTTTTCAAACAAGATCGGTTTCTCATCTTTTAAAGCCGCACATCTCCAGATTCATGCTAATTTTTTATGAAAATTTTGAAAATGTAGTAAAATGTATTATAAAGTAAAATATTGTGAGGTGAACAATAAAGCTAATTTACACATTGCAAATGGCAATGTAAATTTTGATGAAAATTATCCACATAAATTACCAAAAAGAGGTCAAAATATGCAAAAAAATCCCTAAGCACCTTATTGTGTTAGTAACGCAGTAGAAAAATAGTGATGTTGAAAAATACTGCAAAATGGGTCATTTTTCGCACATGACATGGAAATTATTATTTTTAACTTGAATATTTTTACTTGTTTTTAAAAATCTTAATACAATTTTCTCAAGTTTGATTTTCTTGAAATAATTTGGCTCATCTGGAGGCATGCAGCTTTAACTTCTGACACAGAAAGTACATTTAAGTAAATTTTTCAACTTGAATTGATTATATTTACAGAAAATACCTGGTGACAATAAAGACTATATTTATTTTGTTCAAATGTTGTTTTTTTTACAATCTAAACAGCTATAGGTGTATTTTTAAGCCCCTCAGTGCCAAGTATATTTGGACATTTTCCTGTATTACTACTATTATATTAAGGTTTTTTTACCCAGATGGCGTCTTATTGTCAAATTGGTCATAATAGCAGATGTCATGAAAACAAGATGGTTTGGTTGTAAGATGAGTATCTACTGTAGTTTATTATTGTCCCTATTTATTTAGAGGTCCTAAATGTAATATGAAATTTTTAACATTTTTGATGAAATGGAGTTTGTATGAGATTACATTCTCTTAATTTAATCGAGTACCAAGTAGAAACATATATGAAATATTGTTATATGTAGAGATTAAAGTAAGTTTATACTGTGACAGGTGGATGGGTATTTTTTTTGGTCTTAATTTCATACACTAAACATCTATATAATGTATGTCTACACTATAGTGCTGTATTGACTACATTAAAGTGCTGTATTATCTACACTATAGTGCTGTATTGTCTACACTATAGTGCTGTAATGTCTACACTATAGTGTTGTATTGTCTACACTATAGTGCTGTAATGTCTACACCACAGTGCTGTAATATCTACACTATAGTGCTGTAATGACTACTTTACAGTGCTGTAATGTCTACACCACAGTGCTGTAATGTCTACACTATAGTGCTGTATTGACTACATTAAAGTGCTGTATTGTCTACACTATAGTGCTGTATTGTTTACACTATAGTGCTGTATTGTCTACACTATAGTGCTGTATTGTCTACACTATAGTGCTGTATTGTCTAAACTATAGTGCTGTAATGTCTACACTATAGTGCTGTAATGTCTACACTAGAGTGCTGTAATGACTACATTAAAGTGCTGTAATGTCTACACCACAGTGCTGTTATGTCTACACTAGAGTGCTGTAATGTCGACACTACAGTGCTGTAATGTCTACACTACAGTGCTGTAATGTCAACACTATAGTGCTGTAATGTCTACACTTTAGTGAATTATCATATTTTAACATTGTACATGTATATTGTAGTCAACTATTTTCTGTCATTTTTTTTTAAACAAAAATATTTTTGGACATATTGTATTAAGTACATTAAAGTATGTATTTTCTGTTTTATATATACATTTACACATTTTTCTAGCATTATAATAGTAAAATGTGTTCATTGGTTTTTCATATTTTTAGCTATTGGATGTTGTAAATACCTTAATATGTCAATAATTGTCACCATGTTGAAAGTAATGTGGTGGCAGATTGTTGTTTTTTTTTGTTATTTTTATAGATGAAATTGTTTTCTTTTTTGCTCAATTTGCAAAAGCGTTTCTTTTTAAGCGGGATGTCTCAATGTGTGAACAAGGAAATAAATTGGTTTTCTTTGTGTTTGAAGAAAACATTACGCTGTCTTGACCAGACGTGATAATAGTATCATTCAAATAAAGATCTTAATAGTATAAAATAAAGATTTTAATAGTATAAAATAAAGCTCTTATAAGTATAAAATAAAAATCTAATAGTATCATATACATGCACATTTTGTACAAAAGTTAAAAGAAATCTATTTTGGTAGTGGGAGGGGCAAAAATTGATGGGCATGTTCTAGTGTTTAGGTCCTGCCCATCTGTTGGTTCTTTTTATCGAATATAATGATGTTAGTTGGAATTCTGTTCAAAATCTTGAATCCTATGTTTTTGTCGTTGACTTTGTTAACTGGAACACTTTGATGACTGCAAACTTTGTTAATGGAATACTTAAAGAGAACACTTAAAGAGAACACTGGGTTGTTTGGAATCATAATCTGATTGTACAAAAGCTCACACATGTTTGTGTCAGTGATGAGTAAATTTTTCTAAGACTTAAACTCTTTGGTATCATATTTAAGTAACTGTATGTTCTTTTTTTTTTTGCTGTCAAGTTGAGCTGAATAGGCTTTATACATGTATTTCCAAAGATTGGCAATTATAATTACAATGGTGATTTGCCCATAATTAAAGTAATTTTGACTTTTACCTGTACACTGAACATTTTTGCTCAGATGAGCATAAAGTCACTTTTAAGTATTTGGAAGGATTCACATGCTACATATGAATATTATCTTCTACATTAGTAATATGTCTGTGAATAATATGTCAAAGATTTTGTTTGTTAGAATTAAATAAGAAAAAAAAATTAAAATGCCAGGACACATTCCCCTTTAATTTTTATAAAAGATGAATGATTATTGTGTCAGGATGTTTACAGGTATTTCACATGTTAACAAAAGGGAAAAGATTTAAGAACTTATCGTATATTCTCTAATTAACTCCCCCTTTGGATGTTCAATTTTCCTTAAAAGGGGAGGGGGCGGGAATTAAGGTTAAAATTGTCGAATGAATTTTTCTTGCTGTTTTTGTTTTATTTTCCGCTAGATTATATATTTGTATATACTAAAAGAACCAGCTGTGTTAGAAATCTGTGCATTCTTTCTGGGATTTATAATAAACAGCTATTGTCTTAGGAACTTTGTTTTTATACTCCTTAGTGGAAAAAAAAGGAAGGGGGCATTTATTAAGGTAGTCCTGAGCATTCATTAGAGAATATACGGTAGTGATGTGAAGCAGTTGCTGGAATATGTCATGTACGGTCTTGTGGTTTTACTATATAATATTGTTGTTGTCAAGGGGTTTTGTAGACATATGAAATATTGTGTACACTGTTATATGTGAATTATTGTTTACACTGTTATATTAACAAGCTTTCTTTCTTAGTTCATGAACTATTTCTTACATTATTCTAACAATAAAGTACATTAACTTCCTATGTTAAGGTCAACACCATTTCTGTTATCTCACAGACACAAAGTCTTGTCACATATTTATTAAGAAAGCAAACAATTTGATATTTTAAACATTAAAGGAAATTTAACGTTTCTGCCATGTTTCGTCAACATAGAAATTGACTGAATACTTGGATTATTAAAAATATAGCGTATTAAATTAGCACTGTGAAAAACATTTTTGGTAAAGAATCATGGCCACCTGTTGATTTATTTGAGCTTTTTATTCTGTGAAGCATATTTTACCGTTGTTTTAGAGGTTTGGTAATATTAAGCTTAATCCTGTTAAATTTTGTAGTCTTTTTTCAATAACTGTTCATTGTGATAATGTACCATGTAGTGATTATAGTATTTAAATTTTGCTTTCAAAGAGTCTCAAAAGCTGGACACATTTAGTTATAGTAGGAACTCATTTGATTGGAATGGGATTTAAGTATTTTAAACTTTAGATGTACATTAAAATGATTATTTGTCATTTTGCTCACTGAACACTATGACCAAATTATTAATAGTTTTACCTGTTATTGTATTAGTACTGTTACATCGATTTCATGCATTTGAGAGGACAATTGAGCCGTGTCACAACAAAACCAACATAATGGGTTTGCGACCAGCATGGATCCAGACCAGCCTGCGCATCCGCGCAGTCTGATCAGGATCCATGCTGTTCGCTATCAGTTTCTCTACTTGTTATAGAGTTTGTAAGCGAACAGCATGGATCCTGATCAGACTGTGCGGATGCACAGGCTGGTCTGGATCCATGCTGGTCGCAAACCCATTATGTTGGTTTTGTCATGACGCGGCACAATTAAGTATTCAAAAGCAGTTAATTTGCTTTTAGTTGCATGTTTTAATTTTTAGTAGATTAAATGTTTATATATAGAAGGTTTTGATATAAATTAATGAAATTCAGTGCTATAATAAGTTGACCAGGTTTTTACGGAGATTTGAGACAGGATATTGGTTTAATAGGCTAGAAAGTTGAAACTTTACCTCTTGTAAGGTTCTTTGTCAGTTGTCGATTACAATAGCCACAATTATGTCAGTTATTATTGACATTTGATCAATAGGCCACCATTATGTCAGTTATTGTTTACATGTGATCAATTTCCACTATTATGTGAGTTGTTTACATGTGATCATTAGCCACAATTATGTTAGTTGTTTATATGTGAAATATAGCCACAATTATGTCAGTTATGCAAATGGACAGAAATGAATTTGAATTTATTCTAAATTTATGTTTCTTGGAATTTATATTGTTTTCTTTATATAAGTTTAGTTATACATATAGAACACCCAATAGTTTTCCTATATTAATTAAAGTAAACATTATTCCTATCTCAAGACGTGTATTTTGTTAGTTATATAATTAAACACTGAATAAAATAGAAAAGAAAAAAGAAAGCGCACCCATAGTATTTAAGGGAGGGCTTTTTCAGTCAAGATGAAATTTGTGAATTTTGACATGTTGACATTGCAATTTTGTTTATATACATGTATTTGTATATATTTGTCTTTCTTCAGATTTTTTTTAAGACATGCATTATTTTGTATAAAAATTAAGGAATTGAAAAAAATACTATGAATGTGAAGACAAAAAAGTCTAAGTACATGTGTATTAATTTTTAAAAAATTTTTGATTATTAATGTAACTTGAAGTTTGTTGTTTTGATATGAGAAGTACATAATAAGGAAATACCAACCATAGACACTCCATTAATATCAGCATTGAGGTATTTATGTTTTTTGCTACTCGCGTGTATTCAGAATTATGTATTGTATAATCTTTCTCTAACAATAATTTACATACAGCTTCAACTTGTTTACACCAGAAATTGTAGCTTTAATTTTATATTAGTAAAATTACAATTAGGTTTTGAAGTTGAAATGCAGAATTTTTTTATTTGCCCCCCCAACCCCACGAGAGGGGACAGGCATTTTGATTTGTCTGTCCAGCTGTCTGTCTGTAAAAACAGTTGAATGTGGGGGATGTATATACATGTACTGTAGACATATTTCTAGTTGGTTCTTATTTTTGTACAATGAAAGTTAACTTTGATCAAGTGTTGCTATAATTTTTTTTGTAACATTTGTTCATGTTTGTGGAAATTTGCAGGTTGTATATATATCACTATAGAGGAGAATCTGTTTCCAGCTACCGTTTCTATATTCTCGAGTACAATATTGTTTTTATCGTACATCAATGCATAACATAAAAAGAGAGAGAAAAAATTGTTTCATTTCTTAACAATATTTCAAGTTGGGTATCCTTGCGTTTCCCATTTGCACCATGTAGCATAAATTTTTAAGACTTAAAGGAGCTTCACTAAGGTCTTAAAGCCTAAAAACTTAAAATATTAATTTTTAACATAAAATTTTTACCAGTATATACTAAAATGATCACACAAAGAGATAAATTTTGTCACAGAATTATGAAACTAGTTGAAGTTGTTTGTAAATATTGTTTGTCTTTAAATTGCCTTTTAGTATATAAACATGCACTTTGAATAGTGGCTAAACTTTGTATGGTAACAGTTTTTGTATTCTTGCACATTTCCAGTGTTTAATGAAGTCATCCCAATTTTTGGATAATTAAAGCTATTTAAAACTAATTCTGTCTTGTTATTTTACCTTGTTCCCTGTTCCAGCTACATTTACATTCTATACTTTCTTTATGATGAGTGATTTATCCCTGGTACCTGGTTTATGATGATTGATTTTTCCCTGGTACCTGCTTTATGATGAATGATTTATCCAAAGTAGAATGATTTATTCCTGGCACCTGCTTTATGATGATTGAATTATCCCTGGTACCTGCTTTACGATGATTAATGTATCCCTGGTACCTGCTTTATGATGAATGATTTATCCAAAGTAGAATGATTTATTCCTGGCACCTGCTTTATGATGATTGAATTATCCCTGGTACCTGCTTTACGATGATTGAATTATTCCTGGCACCTGCTTTACGATGATTGAATTATCCCTGGTACCTGCTTGAAGATGATTGAATTATCCCTGGTACCTGCTTTATGATGATTGAATTATCCCAGGTACCTGCTTTATGATGAACGATTTATCCCTGGTACCTGCTTTATGATGAACGATTTATTCCTGGTACCTGCTTTATGATGAATGATTTATTCCTGGTACCTGCTTTATGATGAATGATTTATTCCTGGTACCTGCTTTATGATGAATGATTTATTCCTGGTACCTGCTTTATGATGAATGATTTATCCCTGGTACCTGCTTTATGATGAATGATTTATCCCTGGTACCTGCTTTATGATGAATGATTTATTCCTGGTACAATGTACCTGCTTTATGATGAATGATTTATCCCTGGTACCTGCTTTATGATGAATGATTTATTCCTGGTACCTGCTTTATGATGAATGATTTATTCCTGGTACCTGCTTTATGATGAATGATTTATCCCTGGTACCTGCTTTATGATGAATGATTTATCCCTGGTACCTGCTTTATGATGAATGATTTATTCCTGGTACCTGCTTTATGATGAATGATCTATTCCTGGTACCTGCTTTATGATGAATGATTTATTCCTGGTACCTGCTTTATGATGAATGATTTATCCCTGGTACCTGCTTTATGATGAATGATTTATCCCTGGTACCTGCTTTATGATGAATGATTTATTCCTGGTACCTGCTTTATGATGAATGATCTATTCCTGGTACCTGCTTTATGATGAATGATTTATCCCTGGTACCTGCTTTATGATGAATGATTTATTCCTGGTACCTGCTTTATGATGAATGATTTATCCCTGGTACCTGCTTTATGATGATTTATCCCTGGTACCTGCTTTATGATGAATCAAGTTTGAATTATTCAACACTAGAGTTTAGTCACAAGTGTTGTTTTGTCCAAGTAAGAAGCAAATTTCAAAATTATAACAATTTAATTAAGCAATATTGATTGACTTTGATAATCAAGTTCATTTAATTTGATTTAAAGTTCATGGTCATATTTGAATTTTTTTTTTTTTCATGAACATCAAATTTATAGTCTATTGTAGCAAAATTTAATAATTTAACCTTGAATGTGGTTAAATGAAGGTCAAGAACAAGTTTTATCCAACAGTTTCATAGGTTTTGTCCCAAGAACTTTTGTGTCCAAGAATGAAGACAATCCTTTCATTTATTACATACATATAGCCAATATAACAGCAAAAACAACTGTGAAAATACATTATTGGTGTTGTGGGTTAAGAACTTCTAATCAGTTACCTTCTGGGGTTCAACCCCGGAGATGTTTGTATTTACGGGTGTAACTCTCCAAAAGCGATGTAGAAACTACCCGCCTATATGACTGAAATACTGTTGGGGGAAAAGGCGTAAAATGAAACAAACAAACAAAAAAAACATTAATTAATTTTAATATCAAGGTCATAAAATTTATGTGTCAAAGTTGAGTTCTTTCTCCTTGAGGAATGTGCTACTCGCCAAAGGCTGAAGCTCAAAACCTTATCTACACTCTTACCTACCAACCTGTATAAGTGATAAGATACTTCATATTTTTATGAAAACCAGTTGGTTTTTATATATTTAACACATAAAAATTACGACATTAGTGCCATTAAAATTTAATCATTTTATTGACAAATGCATGGTATATCACAGATATTGTATAATAGCACCCAAACAAACCATATATAGTTGTGAAATCTTACAAATCATAATACAGTAATATGGACTTTTCAAATACAGAATCATAGGTATAAAATACATGTATATATAATCAGGGCCAGCACAATCTCATTTTTACTTGCTCGTCTGTTTTATCTGAAGTGTTTTTTACCTGTCCATATGAAATTTACTTATAAAGTAAATTTTGAAAAAATATCATTTGTCCATACTGGCTGTGGGACAATTTAACCTTGACAATATGGACAATTGATTTTGCTGCCACTGATAATAGTACTATTTTTTCACAGAAATGGACTTTGATATAATGCTTGGAGAATAATGTACCTTTAATTTCAAACTAAATATGTTCAGGTGTGAGCTATAAAACAACCTAGACTCTTAGAAGTTTTTTTTAAACAATTTAAAAATACTGTGTTTTGAAAAATAATGAGCTCAATTTATGTAAAATAAATAAATGAATAAGTAATTAATAAAAAATGTTACACAAACCTATCAGAAAAAAAGTTAAATGTACCTGAATTTTCAACAGGGTTTTTGGTAGGGACATGCCAACTGTTTGGAGTTAATTCATATTACAAAATTGGTATTACAAAGGAAATATAATGATAATAGAAATAATTGAGATTCACAGCAAAATAAACATTTGGACAGTCTGAAGAAAGCCCTGTGGTAGTGAAAAGTGAATTTATAAATCACATAGGTAAATAGATTTCTGTAAAAATCTTATTTTAATAAATAGTATCCCACATCGAAGCTCTCTTAACACATTTAATCAACCTCAAAAACAAGCCAGGGGAACATTATGCCTTAGAAATCCATATATCTTAATTCTTTAGAAATGTCAATCATGTGTTTAATAATGTTTCAATAATAAATTTAGAGTATGTAACATGTTTAAATACTGAATGAAGTAGCGCTAAACATGCAGTAAAGGTAGCAAAATGTAAACAAAGTAGTATTTTCACTTCCATACAAAGTACTTACAATCGCAACTACTCGGCCCTTTCCGTCAGTCTTCGGAAAAGGATCCCGAACACAATAGTATGAATACACAGAACAGATGCGGTATTTCGATCTAACCTACGCTTAGAAACTAAACATGTAAACAAATAGTTATTTAATGCTGGGAGTTGTTGACAAGTTTATTTACAATATATGTACTAAAAGTCCACCTAAAATAAGTGAATTCATAGGTACAAAAGCAAACAATACATTACTTATATATTTATTATTATGGTTGTAGAAACCGAAAGTACAAAAAACCAACCTGTTGACATTTAGTCAGATTGTTTAAAATTGAACATCAGTGGGCATATTTAAATTACAAATTGTTGTCAGACATATTTTCAAGCATAAGAGTACCGGAACAGACATTAGATGTCAAAAATATACATTTGTTTTACATTATCTCTGTTTCTGTTTACATCTGAAACCACGTGGTAGAACTACTTTCAATCTGTATTGTTTCCGAGGTTATTATAGATAATAGCCGAGGCAGTTCCGAATGAAAGTACTTATTCACTATAATTATACCAAATGCTGACAGAGCAATAGCAAAAGATATGAAAAATTAGTATAATTTTGAAAACTGTAACAAGATACCAAAAAATAAAAAGGTTTTCGGAAATTAAATTATTTGCATTTCTGAGGCGTAATGGGCCTTTAACAAAATATTTCCTTAAAAAAACATTCTTATCTCTTTACGATCTGATTTTTTGATCACAACAACACAGTAAATGGTGACTTCCAAGCTTTAATAGTGGAGGAGACCATGGACGGACATCAATGTTAATAGGTATCAAAGTTTCAAACATAATTCTGAAGATACAAACATAATGTATTGAAAATACTGATGATATTTTTTTCGCACCGAGTTTTCATTTATACCACAAATATTAAAACATAAATTAAGATAGAGAAAAAATGGCAGTGCACAAAAAAATCCTCTCTGTTTATTATATGTTTTTTTTCCAAAGAAAAATAGTTGGAAGTAACTAAAGAATCAAAGGTAAATTGATTAACATTTCCTGGCTAAATATAAAATCAAACAGTTATTTTCATCATCTGATGCTTCATATAAGGTGTGAGATCATCCCCAAGTCTATTTACTAACCTTTCATATTTACTGACTTTAGGTTTTACATTCGCTTTGCTAGTGTCATTAGAGTCACTAACTATCACCTTTTTCTTTGCAGAAGTTGCTTTGTCTTCCGATTTTGAATGTACTTGATTCGCATTTTGTGAATCAGATTTAGTTTGACATGGATCAGGTGATAAACAATTCTCTTTCACACTTGCCCCTGGTGTTCCTGGTGTCCCAGTTCGAATTCCTGAGGAGCTTGAACTTCTACTGTTAGCTGAACCTAACTTTGAGGCCCTTGAACTACCTGAACTCCAAGATCTGGCTGTTGAATAATCAAACTTGGATTTCTTTTGGTATTTCCTTAGTTTCTTCTTCAATGCTTTTTCATCTTCCAAAATCAAGGAGATAATATCAGTGTCTTTCAACATTTCATCAGAGTGCATTTTGTTTTTACTATTTTTCTTCTTTGACTGACTAGCAATTTTCTCTGTAATAAGGGCATCGTCGGCAGCATCTTCTCCAATACTTTCAGTACCACTGTCATCTTTTTCAGACTTTGCTGCAATTTCCGAACTCTGTTTATTCTTCTCCTTTTGCTGCTTTATTGCCAAGTCTTCCCAGAACTTAGCTTCAGATATACTTTCCAGTAACGAGATCTTTCCGATGCTGCCAACAGAAACGATTTTCGGTTTGCTATGGTCCATATACGGCATAGGGGCAACATCTTCAATAGCCTCTGTTTGATGAACTTCTGCAGCTGATTTAGATCTAGGATAACGTCCTTCTTGTCCACTCAGATACACAGAATCTTGTTCATCTTTTAGATGATCCTGTCTATGAGCATAGGCTGATAACGCCCTTTGTTTTCCAGTCTTGACAGCTGTATCTATCTTCTTTTCATTAGTAATCTCTTTAATTTTTTCAGTCACAGACGAATCTAAACTACACTTCGATTCGTCCACATTTTCAACTATGTCATCAAGCTCTGTTGGCTCTGGACTTTTAACTCTCTCATCAACTTCTTTCTCAACTATTCTAATGTCGTTTATTTCATCAGTTTTAAAATCAACATGTGGTTTAGTAATATTTCCAGAACCTGTGGATTTACCTGCATTTCGTCCCTTTAACAATGCATCGTTCTCCTTCATTTTGGCACGATATTCTTCCATCGTCATGACAGCTGGGGCTGTAACGGGACGTTGATCAAGGTCAACCGACTTTGTTTTACGGTACAATAAATCACCATGCAGTTTCTGTATCTCAGCATCCGACATCTTGGCAAGTTTTTGAAACAGTTTACCTTTTGGTGAGTCGTGGAAATATGGCGACATCAAAACATAGTGTGGCCCCTTTTTAGATCTAGCGGCATACCAACCTCTAAACCTAATCATATAGAAAGAAAGAAAGAAAAAAAAAATATGTAGGATATGAGATTTTTGTTACATAAAAAACACCTATTTTTTATCATGTTGTCTAAATATATGTTGTCCTTAAAACTACTACAAAATTAGGTATATTAAAAGCACAAAAGTTCTTATTTATTTTCAAATTATTCTATACATGTATAATAGTACATTATGTTTGTTTGTTTTCTTTTGTTATATTTAAGAATATAATTGAGTGCAATCCATAATAGTTCAAGAATTAAGATGTCAGCAGTAATCTTTCTTCAACACCAGTAGCGGCATGGCCAATTGGTTAATGTGTCAGACTAGTAATCTTAGGATTACTAGCTGCGTGGGTTCAAATCCCGTCGTGGGCAAGCTGTTGATTCCTTAAGCATGAAACTTTACACTCATTTCTTAGAACTTGTTGATCAACAAACAGATCTGAAAGCTTCCCACACAATCGTACTGAAATAAATTCTGTGTAAGCTTATACATGGTACTTAATTAACATATTGGAATCAATGAACCCAAAGGACCAGAAAAAGAAAACAACACACAGAGATTAAGTACAGCTGCTGTCACATAGCACTTAACATATATTATCTCAAAACAGGGAACATCCCACAAAAGCTATGAATATAACAAAAGGCAAATGTGTAAAATGCAGACTCAGTTTGTTCCATGGAGATAATGAAAGGTGTAATAATATCACTTACTGATTAGTTTAAAAGAATTTAAAGTGACATTAAGCCCATCCAAATGTAAATGGTGGGTGTCACGACAAAACCAACATAATGGGTTTGCGACCAGCATGGATCCAGACCAGCCTGCGCATCCGCGCAGTTTGATCAGGATCCATGCTTTTTGCTTACAGACCCTATAACAAGTAAAGAAACTGATAGCGAACAGCATGGATCCTGATCAGACTGCGCGGATGCCCAGGCTGGTCTGGATCCATGCTGGTCGCAAACCCACTATGTTTGTTTTGTCGTGACACTGCTCAAATGGTGGGTGTTCTACAGGTCAAAGGTCAAAGTCAAAATCAGACTTTAGATTTTGCCATAGTTGTTTTCAATTTTTAAGTTTTGTTCAGATTTATTATCAGTAACCTAGTTGACTCACAGAAAATTCTATAAATAACCTTCAGAATGTATCTTTAACATTTGATTGATAAAAACAATGGGACAGTCCCTTTTATATATTTTAGGCAGTTGTTATATTTAAAACCAACTTTTTATCATTATCAATTAAAATATTGGTCACTGACCATTACAATAGTCAATCTTTTAAACATATAGCCAATTCAGTGCAACTTGACAACAAAAAATGAGCAAAATGTCACTTTAAGAAAGATGGTCACTGAAAAGCCACATACCTCTTACAAACTATTTTCATTCTTATAATGTGCTAAATAAAAAAGTGGGTAAAGTTAGTATACTTTTTTTTAAAGAATTAACAGAAAAGTGTGATCTACTATCTAGGTCAGCTACAATGAATTATTTTAATTGTGCAACATATTATTATTGTAATAAATTCTAAAATCTAACTCTTCACCCAACAATTGTTTAATATATATCTTTTTTAGTTCTATACATACTGCTTAACAAATCTCTCTTAAAATGGAAATATTAAAGGAACTCAACATAAAAAAAGAATACAAAATTTTAAAATCTCACAAAAATTAAGTTAAGCACTTAAAATGGAAAAATCTGCAAAGGATAACAAAGAAATATACTCAGAATTAAATTGAAAATTGATTTTTAATATCATTCTTAGCCAATTTTTTGTGAAAAGCATTTCACAATAAAATTGATTCTTCTGAGAGGTCAAAATTTGCACACAAGTTTTTAAACAAGACCTATTAATTAAATGCTACCCAAAACTCGAAAATATATTTTCATATGTCCAAAAAACCTCAGTGAAGTCCCAGTGGAGTCCAAACAATTACAATAAATAATTTATTATCTATGGCAGACACCAAAATGGTATAGAAATAACAAACTGGGGAGCAATAAGTTACAACTGATCTGTTTCAATAAAATTAATTAATGTACAGTGCAACCTCTTCAGAGTGCCCCCCTCTGTACAGAAGTAACCTCTTCAAAAAATAACTGGTTAAATCCTATTAAATTAAGAAGGACTTAACCAGTTATTGCACTAAGGTGACACAGTTTTAATTCTTCCAAAAGTAAGACATCCCAATAGATTTAACCTCTATAGAGCAATACCTCAAAGAATCAACCAAAATATTTGCCTCTCAAAGGGTGTTGCATTGCACAGGTTGAACTGTACTTAATAAGAATTAACAAAGCTATGTAAAACTTTATTACATCAGGGGCAGTAACAATCATCATAACAATGTCATATATTCAAGGAAAATGCTATAGATCAAATAGGAAACTTGATTAAATTCTTCTTGCTTTACATGTACATGTATATAGAAACCAATTGTGTTTCAATCCAAAATCAAAGCAGTACAAAAGAAACAATCACACAAACAAATCAGTCTATCAAACTGTATTAGTTTTTCTTTTTGCTGCAAACAGAAGGAAAAACAATGCTACTAAAAAACTGTATGGAGTTCCCTCATAGACAATATTTTGCAAAGATTTAATGATTATGTTTTATCAACTCACATCATGTTTTTTTTCCATTGATAATAAGTAGATTTTCAAAAAAAAAATACAGTCGTAGATTTTTAATTTTCTTAAAAGGGACAAAATGTTTTTTAAAACTGAAAAAAATTATAGCACAAGTATCCAGTAGATATTTTTTTCTATTAAATAAAAAAATGATTTCCTTATTAGTTCCAGTACACACATATATTCAGAAACAGTATGTGATGTGTCCAGTAAAAAGACATCAGTTGAAGTATAAACCTGCTTGTCTTTCTTGAATGAATTTTTTTTTATACATAATAAATTATTTCATGCTTTCTGATTTGCTGTCGATGATTTTAAGAAATGTTTATTGATTATCGTCATGGTGCTCTTCTTCATGACATCATAATATTCCTCTTCTTCATGACATCATAATATTCCTCATCTTCATGACATCATAATATTCCTCTTCTTCATGACATCATAATATTCATATTAATAAAAATTCTGAGTTTTACTAAAGGTTCAATACTAAATTTATTGAACAAGTTGAATTAATTTGTATTATACGAAACTCTGCATTGCGATGAGTTCAATAAAATTAGAAATGAAGCTACCCATACATAAATTAAATATGGGGAGTATGTCACAGTTCAGAACTGTTCACTATTTAGGGGAGAAGATGTGTAAGCGGCCGAATAGCTCAGACGGTAGAGCCGCGGCACGGTATTCTGATGGTCCTGGGTTCAAGTCCCGGTCAGGCTGCACATTTTTCTCACCCTGTGACACTATTATTCACATATCTAAATAAGAACTATTTACATTTAAAAAAAAGAGACATTTATTTCATTGATATGCTTATAGTGTAATGCTAGCATTTAGGACATCTTTACGCTATGTTAATAGTATAATGCAAGTGACATTACATCAAAATATATGCATGAGCTTGCAATACCATTTTTACAGAGTCGCAAAAGTGGCACTATAAGGTATGTGAGAAAAAGATATACGTCAAGCCGGACCTTTTTAGCCGGACACATCACATAACATGATATAGAATATATTCTCACAGCCTTTTTATACATGTTTACATGGTACATATATAACTATATAACATTGTGGGCAAATTAACACTTTTGCAAAATACACAATTATAATGTTAATAAACAATTTTGTCTAAAACAAAAAATGTCCTATTTCACCTATAGGTTTAACACTGATAAACCAGGGTTCAAACAAATAAAATGCTGCACAATTTACAGACACTTTGTACAATTTTTATACCAAAATTTAGAAAATTTAGAACTGACGTCTAATACATTGACTGAAAATTTAATTCATCAAAAATAGTATAAAATATACTTCACACATACCGGAAGTGATTAGATTTGACGCTAGTACAGATTGCCCAATCAGCGCGTGCATCTCAGTGCAGTCTGACCAGGTTCTATACAGTTGGTTAATTAATTTTGATTTTGACATTTCAAAAACTGGAAGTTTATTTTCAGTGTGGTAAAAAAATAAATATATCTTAGTTTGAACCCTGCATCATAAGACAAACATAAAACCAAACTCCCTGCAACAGTTATGTCACACTTCCCTACATGAACCACTGCTACCACAAATATCATGTGACCAAAGACTAAGTTCTTAAAGAAACAAAATCATGACATTCAACTTGAAAAGGGTGCCAGAAAATTATTTTGTTTTGAGTGAAAACAGCATTACAGTATCGGCTATCAGGCTTTATGGTCAAGTAATAAATAGCTGTTAAAATATTTGCTGTTGATATTATACAGTATCAATACAGTGTAGTTGTTAGACCTCATAATTTACAATAAAGTCAATACACATTATTTTTCCATAATAATGACACCTATAATGATATTAGATTTAAAGAACAAAATTTGAACCAATAAAAGGGAAAATGTATTTGAAATCATAAGGTTGGTTCTCTGGCAGTCCAACTTGACTTCATGTGGTGGCAAATGCTAATCAAGGGAAGTAACTGCTGCAGGAAATTTGACATTGCAGATGTTGTTTGGGTTAGAGACTAAAGAAACCCTCAAAGAAAAATGCAGAATAAACAAAGCTCTTGTTGAATTATCTCCCTTCCTACACAATACTTACATATTTTGTAACCTCTCCAATTTTTCTCTATTGTACAAAATTAAATTACACGTTTGTGAAATAGATTCTTTCATAATCTTGAAATCTGATGTGTTTTTTTTTTTATATTAACTCTATGATGAATGTTTGTACATAATTAAATTGATGTAAGATAAAAGATATCCTTGTTTTTGACCTTATTAATTATAGTACATTTAAATCAAGTAAAATACTTTGCCTTTAAAAATTTGTTAAACCCGATAGAATATCAATTTCAATATAGCTAGAATACAAAATAATTAACTATTGGTAATCCTAATCAAATATATTAATAAAAGAGAGTTCAGCCTGCATAATAAATAACTGAATACTTGTAAAACACTCTGGTTAGAGGAGACAGCGCACTCATATATTAGAAAAGAAAGAAATAATAATATTCCATATGTAATAACAGTTTCTTGACTGTAACAAGGTTTAATTTAATCTAAGTGACTGACACATCAACTTCTCAGCTAACTTACTGATTGTCCTACAAACATTATAAGCAAAACAATGTAACAATCTTCTTACTTTTATTTCAGGGAATAGAATAAAAGATGATATAATAATTATTACAATAAACTGAAGTTTCGGTAATTATATGTAATGTTGTAATTAATGTATAAATACCTGGCATCACATCTTCTCGAATGTGAGGGTGGGAGCCTTGGAGCTGGGTATGCTAAAGCATTCACAGAATCTTCATACCGGTTCTTCTGTTTATTTACCGACACACACTTCTTTTTGATGTGAGGTGCTCCCTGGGATAATGCTGCAAAACATGTTTTAAAAAAAAAAAACCATCTTACAAAAGTGATTTGTTTGTTTGTTTTGTTGGATTTTAAGTCACCACAACACTGTAAGGCTAGCAACTTTTCCAGCCTTATTCTGGGATTTTCATAATTTTTATTGACCTTCAGACTTTGCATAATTATATGGACTTTTACCTTGGATCTGAATTGGCATGAGGCAGTCATTGTATACATGAGTTTTAAAAAGAGTACTGAACAATATTTGAATTATTTTTTTTCCCAATATTTATGTAACACCGCTGGAGATATTAAATGAACAGAAGTATACAGAAATGGGAGGTACAGTAAGACATTTATCAGCAAACAATTTCAGTATTTTCTATTTTTTTGCACAAAATAATCATTTTATGAAAGTACCTGACTTTGATCTTTCCATTTCCTCTTTCTTCTGTTTAAAATTAGGTATAAAGTGCTCCATCTCTGTATCCATAGCAATCTCGTATCTTCCTTCCTGTAATAACAACAAACGCATAAAATACCTAAAACTAACATAGGAATATAAGGTAACATAATTCAAGAAGTAGCTCAATTTCTTTTTATGAGTTTTCTAAAACTTTGCATAATTAAAGAGAGTTCATAATAATTGAAAAACAAATTATTGAAAAAAAATAGTTTAGGGGTCATCATTCTGCTTTTTGAGTAATCTATCCCTGAAAGTGAATTTTTTACTGTTTAAGGTCATTCATGTCTCCAAGAATAATAACTTTAATTGTGTAAAATGACAGCTTTTAAATGCTTGGAATAAAAATCACAATTTTAAAACATCAATTTTTAATTTAAATAATTAGTATATCTTATTTCATCTTTTTCATATTTTCCTGTTGTTTGATCTTGGTAAGATTTTTTTTTTTTTCTTTTTTTTTCAATTTTTATGTTTTCCAGATTTTGGACCATTGTGGTGTTTCCTTTAAGCTTCAAATTGGTAGTTCAATGAAGCAAAAAAAAAAAAAAATTACTTGCAAATTCAGCTTGGTACGGGATGAAATAGTACATGTAGTAATTTTACCTTGTACGATACTCTTACTATCCAAGTTTTTTGAACTTTTGTTGTTGTTTTTATTAAATATTTTTTTTTAAAAATCACATTTATTTCCTCCAGAGTTAAAATTTTAATGCTACCTTTCCTAATCTTAACAAATTTTTGAACGCTTATCTCTGAATAAAATGGCAAATACATACAAATTTTTGTATTGAAAGATTTTTCATAAAATACATTAAGCTGGCATATAATATAAATCATTATTATATAATAGATAACGGAAACATAATAAATGAGACTTAAATGATGTAATAACATTTTAAAAGCTTACATACTCTTTGCCGATTAAAATGATATTAATAGGCTATATCTTAGCTTTGATTACATCTGAAAGGAAACTCCACTGAGGTCCAAAATCTTAATAACATAAAATTTGAATTTCTTACATAATAATATCAACTGAGACACCTAAAACCAAATATCAGACAATATCAAAAGGAGGTAGCTGTGAAAAGGTCTGTTGGTCCCAAGCAAACAGCCTGCCTTTCCTTGTCCCTGCCACTCCCCTCAGAATTACATTGATCCAGCACATTTTTACTTACCTCTGTTTCAATGTCAAATAGAAGTTGTTCCCAGTCTTCAACTGTTTTCTTCAGGTCAGAATCAGACACAACATGTGGTATGTGGCTAGGCTTATAATCAGCTACAATTGGTCTATCTGACATACTCACTGGCTGTATACCTTTATCTGTAATTACAATCATTTCCAATGTAAATCTGCTAAATTAGGGCTTTTTTATTCCTTAACCCATTACCAGATATATACGCCTTTCTACGCCTTTTTCACCCCCCCCCCCCTTTTGCTTTCTCAAATGGTGAAAAAATGCCTTATTTAGGCCCCCCAAACACTTGTTTTTGTTTGAGAAATGTTGTTTAAAAAATTGACCACTTTTTCGGCGCGGCATCAGGGGGTTGCCAGAAGGGGGATGTGCCCCCTTCTGTTTGGTTTGGGGGGTTGGAAGGGGGGCGGCAGATCCCCTCATGGCCAAGAAAATTTTAGACTTGTGGGAAGCTAAAAATGGCCCCAGGTCGATCATAAGGAAATGTGTAACCAATGCTGAAAAGCCTTTGACTATCTCAATCCATTGAGAAGTGGCAGCACTTTGAAATCAATTTTGATGGAAAAAATCAACGCAAAATAGTGATTTTTGGCAATTTTGAGATGTCCCCTAGTTGCCATGGTAACAGGAAATTTCAGACTGAGCATGTTGTTACAAAGGCAATGGTCCAGTCAACATTTGTGCCAAGTTTGATTAGTATTGAAGCAAGCAGTTTTTATAGTTTTATAGCAACTTGAACTTGTAACGGGAGACTTTTCAATGAAAACAACCATTTTTCACAAAGTGCTCATGGGGTTATGGGTTAAAGCAGCCTTCAGCGGAAAACAATTCTGTATTGTTTCAAAGTAAGTATTTCAGTTATTCCATCTTTGAAAAGTGCATCATATCACTGTACAATTATTTTTAAAACACTGCCCCGAGAGCTATTTATAACATATCAGTCAGTTTTGTTTCTAAATATAGAAGCCAATCATCCGCTGAACTAATTTAACTAGAACTGCCACTGTCATGGCGTGAATACCCCCGCATACCACTTTGTCAGAATCAACAGTGGCCATTTAGAGCTCAAGGACAACTTCCCTGTCAAATCTGAGGTTACTAAGCCAATGCATTGCTAAGTTATGTATTCTACATGCTTCAAATGTGAAAATGTCAAAATCAATACACTGCGGACAGGCATTCTTAAGCAATTGAGTGGAACAACTTATTTTATTGTCAAGGTCCGTCTGACCTTTGACCCAGTGACCTCAAAATCAATAGGGGTCACCTTATGGTCATGATCAACCTCCATGCCAAATATGAAGACTGTGGGTCAAAGGAATCTTAAGTTAATGGGCAGAAAAAAAATTTTTTAGTCAAGGCCCCTGTGACCTTGACCTTTGAACCAGTGACCTCAAAAACAATAGGGGTCATTTACTAATCATGACTAACCTCCACGCCAAATATGAAGACTTTGGGTCATAGGAATCTTTAGTTATTGGGCGGACAAGCTTTTTAAAGTCAAGGCCCCTGTGACCTTGACCTTTGACCCAGTGACCTCAAAATCAATAGGGGTCATCTAATAATCATGACTAACCTCCATGCCAAATATGAAGACTTTGGGTCATAGGAATCTTTAGTTATTGGGCGGACAAGCTTTTTAAAGTCAAGGCCCCTGTGACCTTGACCTTTGACCCAGTGACCTCAAAATCAATAGGGGTCATCTACTAATCATGACTAACCTCCATGCCAATTATGAAGACTGTGGGTCAAAGGAATCTTTAGTTATTGGGCGGACAAGCTTTTTGAAGTCAAGGCCCCTGTGACCTTGACCTTTGACCCAGTGACCTCAAAATCAATAGGGGTCATCTACTAATCATGACTAACCTCTATGCCAAATATGAAAACTGTGGGTCAAAGGAATCTTAAGTTATTGGGCGGACAAGCATTTTGAAGTCAAGGCCCCTGTAACCTTGACCTTTGACCCAGTGACCTCAAAATCAATAGGGGTCATCTACAAATCATGACTAACGTCCATGCCAAATATGAAGACTGTGGGTAAAAGGAATCTTAAGTTATTGGGTGCACAAGCTTTTTGAAGCCAAGGCCCCTGTGACCTTGACCTTTGACCCAGTGACCTCAAAATCAATCATTTACTAATCATGACTAACCTCCATGCCAAATATGAAGACTGTGGGTCAAAGGAATCTTAAGTTATTGGGCGGACAAGCTTTTTGAAGCCTGTGACCTTGACCTTTGACCCGGTGACCTCAAAATCAATAGGGGTCATCTACTAATCATGACTAACCTCCATGCCAAATATGAAGACTGTGGGTCAAAGGAATCTTAAGTTATTGGGCAGACAAGAAAAAACCGACGGACAGCTGGACGGACGGACGGCCGGCCGGACAAGCTGATTCCAGTATACCCCCCTTACAACTTTGTTGTGGAATCTTAAGTTAATGGGCGGACAAACTTTTTTAGTCAAGGCCCCTGTGACCTTGACCTTTGACCCAGTGACCTCAAAATCAATAGGGGTCATTTACTAATCATGACTAACCTCCATGCCAAATATGAAGACTTTGGGTCAAAGGAATCTTTAGTTATTGGGCGGACAAGCTTTTTGAAGTCAAGGCCCCTGTGACCTTGACTTTTGACCCAGTGACCTCAAAATCAAAAGGGGTCATCTACTAATCATGACTAACCTCCATGCCAAATATGAAGACTGTGGGTCAAAGGAATCTTAAGTTATTGGGCGGACAAGCATTTTTAAAGTCAAGGCCCCTGTAACCTTGACCTTTGACCCAGTGACCTCAAAATCAATAGGGGTCATCTACTAATCATGACTAACATCCATGCCAAATATGAAGACTGTGGGTCAAAGGAATCTTAAGTTATTGGGTGCACAAGCTTTTTGAAGCCAAGGCCCCTGTGACCTTGACCTTTGACCCAGTGACCTCAAAATCAATCATTTACTAATCATGACTAACCTCCATGCCAAATATGAAGACTGTGGGTCAAAGGAATCTTAAGTTATTGGGCGGACAAGCTTTTTGAAGCCTGTGACCTTGACCTTTGACCCGGTGACCTCAAAATCAATAGGGGTCATCTACTAATCATGACTAACCTCCATGCCAAATATGAAGACTGTGGGTCAAAGGAATCTTAAGTTATTGGGCAGACAAGAAAAAACAGACGGACAGCTGGACGGACGGACGCCGGTCCGGACAAGCTGATTCCAGTATACCCCCCTTACAACTTTGTTGTGGAATCTTAAGTTAATGGGCGGACAAACTTTTTTAGTCAAGGCCCCTGTGACCTTGACCTTTGACCCAGTGACCTCAAAATCAATAGGGGTCATCTACTAATCATGACTAACCTCCACGCCAAATATGAAGACTTTGGGTCAAAGGAATCTTTAGTTATTGGGCGGACAAGCTTTTTTTAAAGTCAAGGCCCCTGTGACCTTGACCTTTGACCCAGTGACTTCAAAATCAATAGGGGTCATCTACTAATCATGACTAACCTCCATGCCAAATATGAAGACTGTGGGTCAAAAGAATCTTAAGTTTTTGGGCGGACAAGGCTTCTGAAGTCAAGGCCCCTGTGACCTTGACCTTAGACCCGGTGACCTCAAAATCAATAGCGGTCATCTACTAATCATGACTAACCTCCATGCCAAATATGAAGACTGTGGGTCAAAGGAACCTTAAGTTATTGGGCGGACAAGCATTTTGAAGTCAAGGCCCCTGTAACCTTGACCTTTGACCCAGTGACCTCAAAATCAATAGGGGTCATCTACTAATCATGACTAACATCCATGCCAAATATGAAGACTGTGGGTCAAAGGAATCTTAAGTTATTGGGTTGCACAAGCTTTTTTGAAGCCAAGGCCCCTGTGACCTTGACCTTTGACCCAGTGACCTCAAAATCAATCATTTACTAATCATGAAACCTCCATGCCAAATATGAAGACTGTGGGTCAAAGGAATCTTAAGTTATTGGGCGGACAAGCTTTTTGAAGCCTGTGACCTTGACCTTTGACCCGGTGACCTCAAAATCAATAGGGGGTCATCTACTAATCATGACTAACCTCCATGCCAAATATGAAGACTGTGGGTCAAAGGAATCTTAAGTTATTGGGCAGACAAGAAAACCGACGGACAGCTGGACGGACGGACGGCCGGCGGACAAGCTGATTCCAGTATACCCCCCTTACAACTTTGTTTGTGGAATCTTAAGTTAATGGGCGGACAAACTTTTTTAGTCAAGGCCCCTGTGACCTTGACCTTTGACCCAGTGACCTCAAAATCAATAGGGGTCATCTAATAATCATGACTAACCTCCACGCCAAATATGAAGACTTTGGGTCATAGGAATCTTTAGTTATTGGGCGGACAAGCTTTTAAAGTCAAGGCCCTGTGACCTTGACCTTTGACCCAGTGACCTCAAAATCAATAGGGGTCATCTACTAATCATGACTAACCTCCATGCCAATATGAAGACTGTCGGTCAAAGGAATCTTTAGTTATTGGGCGGACAAGCTTTTTGAAGTCAAGGCCCCTGTGACCTTGACCTTTGACCCAGTGACCTCAAAATCAATAGGGGTCATCTACTAATCATGACTAACCTCCATGCCAAATATGAAGACTTTGGGTCAAAGGAATCTTTAGTTATTGGGCGGACAAGCTTTTTAAAGTCAAGGCCCCTGTGACCTTGACCTTTGACCCGGTGACTTCAAAATCAATAGGGGTCATCTACTAATCATGACTAACCTCCATGCCAAATATGAAGACTGTGGGTCAAAAGAATCTTAAGTTTTTGGGCGGACAAGCTTTTTGAAGTCAAGGCCCCTGTGACCTTGACCTTAGACCCGGTGACCTCAAAATCAATAGCGGTCATCTACTAATCATGACTAATCTCCATGCCAAATATGAAGACTGTGGGTCAAAGGAATCTTAAGTTATTGGGCGGACAAGCATTTTGAAGTCAAGGACCCTCTGACCTTGACCTTTGACCCAGTGACCTCAAAATCAATAGGGGTCATCTACTAATCATGACTAACATCCATGCCAAATATGAAGACTGTGGGTCAAAGGAATCTTAAGTTATTGGGTGCACAAGCTTTTTGAAGCCAAGGCCCCTGTGACCTTGACCTTTGACCCAGTGACCTCAAAATCAATCATTTACTAATCATGACTAACCTCCATGCCAAATATGAAGACTGTGGGTCAAAGGAATCTTAAGTTATTGGGCGGACAAGCTTTTTGAAGCCAAGGCCCCTGTGACCTTGACCTTTGACCCGGTGACCTCAAAATCAAAAGGGGTCATCTACTAATCATGATTAACCTCCATGCCAAATATGAAGACTGTGGGTCAAAGGAATCTTAAGTTATTGGGCAGACAAGAAAAAACCGACGGACAGCCGGATGGCTGGCCGGACGGACAAGCTGATTCCAGTATACCCCCCTTACAACTTTGTTGTGCGGGGGTATAAATATAGAGAGCAGACCGGTAGATTAGAGTTATTGAGGGGTTTCCTCATTGTTTATGTATTATATCATTGATACCTTTCATTTTCCACTTCTTTTGATTTGACAATTATATGAAACGATTTATCTAAAAATAACATAATACTTATCTAACCTTAAGAAAAGCTGGAGGTCGCATTAAATTAGGGCTTTCTTCATTCGTTACCAATCAAATGCTATTATGTTTTATCAAATGTAATTGCAAACATTAGAAAAAAAATAAAAATTTATAATTAATGATTGAATAAAGTAACAAGAGGGCCATGATGGCCTGAGGTCGCTCACCTGTATATAGCCCCCCCCCCCCCCGGCCAATTTTTCCCCAAGGGCTTTTATTTGTTTATTTGAACAGACTTGGTAGACACCCATAAGAAGATGTTTCATGCTAAACATCAGTAAGTTCTAGCTCATTGGGTTTTTTAAAAGAAGATTTTTTAAGTTTGAACTATACACATATAGTTAAAAACAATGACACCCCTGGGGCAGGGCCAGTTTTGACCCCCGGGCTTTAATTTGTAGATATTTACTTATAGATGTTTCATGCTTAATATCTAAACTAAAGCTATTTGGGTTTTTTCAAAGAAGATTTTTAAGTTTTTGCTATACACATATAAGGAAAATCAATGACCCCCGGGGCGGGGCCAGTTTTGACCCCAGGGCTTTTATTTGAACATACTTGGTAGACACCCATTAGAACATGTTTCATGCTAAATATCTTAGCTCTAGCTCTTTGGGTTCTTTAAAAGAAGATTTTTTAAGTTTTTACTATATGCATATAGGGAAAATCAATGACCCCCTGGGGCGGGGCCAATTTTGACCCCAGGGCTTTTATTTGAACAAACTTGGTAGACATTCACAAGAAGATGTTTCATGCCAAATATCTAAGCTCTAGCTCTTACGGTTCTTTAAAAGAAGATTTTTTAAGTTTTTACTATATGCATATAGGGAAAATCAATGACCCCCAAGGGCGGGGCCAATTTTGACCCCAGGGCTTTTATTTGAACAAACTTGGTAGACACTCACTAGAAGATGTTTCATGCCAAATATCTTAGCTCTAGCTCTTTGGGTTCTTTAAAAGAAGATTTTTTAAGTTTTTACTATATGCATATAGGGAAAATCAATGACCCCCTGGGGCGGGGCCAATTTTGACCCCAGGGCTTTTATTTGAACAAACTTGGTAGACATTCACTAGAAGATGTTTCATGCCAAATATCTAAGCTCTAGCTCTTACGGTTCTTTAAAAGAAGATTTTTTAAGTTTTTACTATATGCATATAGGGAAAATCAATGACCCCCCTGGGCGGGGCCAATTTTGACCCCAGGGCTTTTATTTGAACAAACTTGGTAGACACTCTTTAGAAGATGTTTCATGCCAAATATCTAAGTTCTAGCTCTTACAGTTCTTTAAAAGAAGATATTTAAAGATTTTTCTTTCGGTTGCCATGGCAACCAGAGTTCTGCATGGAATTAAATTCTTTGAACAATTTTTAAAGGTGACCACCAAAGGAACATTCCTGTAAAGTTTGGATGAAATTGGCTCAGTGGTTTATGAGGAGATGTCATTTAAAGCAAAAGTTTACGGACGGACGGATGCCGGACGGACGATGGACGGACGGACGCCGGACGAAAAGCGATCACAAAAGCTCACCCTGTCACTTTGTGACAGGTGAGCTAAAAATCAACATGTAAAAATCTAAAGATTTAGTACTTTGTATAAAATCATAGCCTTGCCGCCAAAAAATGTTTACACAGTTTCTTATGGAATAGGAAATAATTTAGGGGATACATATTTGGATAAATCTACAGACAACTAGTAAGGTTACTTCTTATGCTTTCGAGCATAAACTACAAATTATGTTATTCTATTTTTTACAATTGATCATCCTTTATTTGTTTATACTAGCAAACTTTTTGTTAAAAGCAGTAAAAAGAAAATCATGTGCATAGATTCTACATAAATTAACAATATTTCACTGCTATTATTAAAATATAAATTTTATTGTCTGTATGCTAGTAATATTTACAACAATCTGACACCATCTTAACATACATTAAAGGCCCATTAGGCCAGAAAAAGGCTATAACTGCTTTTTTTTAAAGAGTTTTTTTTTTAAAGTTCTTATACAGTTTCAAAAGAGAGAGTACTCATTCTTCCATAAACCCAGTGATTTAGTAATTTATGAAAGTTTAAAAAAGTAAACATAAAAGAATTCATAATGTGCCTTTAAGAACATTAAAAAGAATAAAATTATAAGTATATAATAATTACCTTTACTTTTATATGCATGTCTAACGAGATCCTGTAATTTCTGATAAATGGCGCTCTGAGCCCGCATTGACTGTTTTCTCTTTAATTCCTCCATTTCCCGACTACTATACATTCCGATATTTGGTGCAGTGACAGGCCGTTCCCGAACAAATCCTCCCTTAGCACAGTGAACAGTTTTCTCCGAGCGACCTACTTCTGATCTTAGATGACGATAGCTCTGTTTCTGATGATTTGTCTGTAGTAAAAAAAGATCTTCTAATGTCAAAGCTAGTTTTAAATTGAACAAAATTTTCTAAACTATTTGGAATAAAATTTTATCAAGGTTTTTTTTTCCCTCACAAAATAATGTTCTAATCGTATGGACCAATTCATTACCAATCAAAATCTTATACGGGGGTATAACCTTGGACATTCCAAATTAAAATATGAAATATCATTTGATCTTTCAGTGAAATGTGATTTGATCTTACATGCAAAATAGGTGTCTGTTTACCAATTATAACTTCTACAATTTTTTACAAACTAGTCACCAATTATAATGTAACTAAAATATAAAGAGGTAGAGTTTTAACTTTGATATAATCATTAGTTTAGTACATTATCCGAGTTATTGAGCAAACATTTTTTCATCTGTCACTTGGTCTGCAAACAATTTTAATATACCATGTACTTCTGCCCTCAAGGGCAGAATATTATCAAAAGAAATAAATGACATGAAATTGTCACATGGGTATGTTTCATTTTCCAGTCTGTCAAAAATGATTCAATCATAAAACTCTAAAAATATCTTCCAAAGCACTTGATGACAAAAATGATATAAAAAATTGGTTAAATTACCAAGAGAAACTAACCTACAAATGGCACAGCCCTCCTAGCTTACAAATGACACAGCTGTCCTAATATACAAATGGCACAGCAATCCTAATAAATAAATGACACAGCCTTTCTTACCTACAAATGGCAGAGCCATCCTTATATACAAATGGCACAGCGGTCATTACAAAGCGGTCCTTACCTACAAATGGCACAGCCATCCTTATATACAAATGGCACAGCAGTCCTTACCTACAAATGGCAGAGCCATCCTTATATACAAATGGCACAGCGGTCCTTACCTACAAATGGCACAGCCATCCTTATATATACAAATGGCACAGCGGTCCTTACCTACAAATGGCAGAGCCATCCTTATATACAAATGGCACAGCAGTCCTTTCCTACAAATGGCACAGCCATCCTTATATACAAATGGCACAGCGGTCCTTACCTACAAGTGGCACAGCCATTATAACATGCAAATAACATAGCCACCAACAAATGGCACAGCTACATGTATTATAATGTAGATATAATACAGCTATAATATATAGAACATTACATAATATGGTAGAATTGTGACATAAAAAGGACACAATAATATGCCAATATAAAAATGGTACAATTATATTTTAATATAAATGGTATAGCCAACTAATTTCTACAAATAGTACATATAAATGGCATAGCCAAACTAATTTCTACAAAATGGTACATGCTAACCAGGTAAAATCGTCCAATTTCGCTAATCATGCTAAAAATAGTTACCAAAATGCTTACCTGGTAAAATTGTAAAAACATTTACCAGGCTGAGTGAATCAGACCGGCTTACCTGGCTTATGGTTCAGATGCTAATGCTTCCTTGGTTAGATTATTTAGATATGCTAACCATACTAAATGGTTTAGTCATACTAACCTGGCCTGGCTAAATACTTCAAACATGCTATCCTGATCTGCTAATGTGACCACTGGCTAAAATAGTTCAGACATGCTAACCAGGTAAAATGGTCATGATATGCTAGCTAACCTGACAACACACAAACAGGTAGCTAGTAGTTCCAAAAATGCTAACCTGGCTAAATTGTTCAGACATGCTAACCTGGCTAATGATTTCAGACATGCTAAACTGATATAATAGATCAGACATGCTAAGCTAGATGAACCATCAGATAATGACAGATATCTAAGCACTTAAATGTATCTTCAATTTGGCCTATCTGCAAGTATTTATCTATTAAACAAGGGATTTTAAACCTGTCTCAAATTCACTTTTCTCAATGCTGGATTGTATCATAAAAAGGCTTTGATCCAGGCTTTGCTGTTAGAGGTCACAGTAACCTTGACCTTTTGCCCAAAATATGCACAGAAGGTAAAAATTAGCATAGCGCATGTACTGGTCTGAAGTTCCCAGATGATGTTTCTTTATTTTTTTTTATTATTTTTTTTAATTTTTAATTTAATGACCAATTTTATGTTAAAAGCTAGTACAGGTACTAGTGACCTTGACTTTGACCTGATGTAGAGAAGGCATTTTTCACAATTTTGAGATATTTAGGGAGAAAAAAAAAACATCGGAAAACCCAAATAGGCTTGAAGGTGAGCCTCAGATCTACAGGTAACAAAATAAGTAAATCTGAACTTAAGTCAGATTGAACCAAAATAGGTCGTATAACCCAAAAGATTAAGCAACGCCACTGATAGGGTTGTTACAAAAGCTCCACTTTTTCTTGGTAAAGTTGAGCTTTAAAGCATAATAATGTAATAATATATACATGTATACCCAGAAGGATGGGTCTAAGATATATCTAATCTAGCAAAATATCTATTATCATAGCATGCTGTTACCGTGGACATTTTCCTCATTAGATAGTAGTCAGACAAACACGTGTCCTGTCAATTTTCAAATCATGAAGTTAAAATAAAACTTATACATGTACACCTATGCCTATTAAATACATGTAAACATAAATATGCTGACAACAACAATATTTTTTTTATTTCAGTATGTATTGTTAGCTGAAAACAAACAAATTTAACTACTTTACTTTGTACAGTGATTTTATTACATCCTTTCAAAAAGCATCACTACCCACTTTTAGAATAGACCTTAATATATGCTAAGTTACCAGGAATTCAATATCTATGAACCATTTCTGATATTGTTTGTATTCTTAAGGTATAGCTAGCTCACAATAACTTAGATATTATCTGACAAACAAATTTTTTATCATGATTGTGATCTGAAGTCTTTAAATTTGAAAAAAAAAAATCATACAAATACTTTTCTTATCTGTAGAAATGGATGTAACTTAACTGACAAAAGTGTTAATAATAACTTAAAAATAAAGAAAATAATAATTTTTACCATTTCTACTCTAGAGTCACCACAGATTACAGTGGAGTCTTTAAATTTAGTATCCTTGTACCTAACCTCCGGGAACTCCCATTCTTCTTTCAGATATTGAGCATCTAGATGACTGGCTACTCGATGATCATGGTGAGTTAGAAGCTTATCAAAATCTGTTAACTGTAATTTAGAAAATGATACAAATGTAACATTATGAAAATTTATTAAAGATTTTAAATAAATGTCAAAATGCAAAATAATCTTATTTTTTAAACACATTAATGTAAGCTTGATTGCCAAACAAGTTATTGCAACTTATATTAATCACTTTCGAGTCCACTTTCCGGAACCAACAAGTACTGGTATCATATGTAGAAACATAGTCGTGACTCAAGTAGGGCTCAAACCCATGATCCCTGGATTGAGGGGCAGACACCTTAACCACTAGGCCACCATTCCCTTATACATATTGTACTAAAAGTTTTTAATTTCTGTATAAAAATGTCAAAAATTATCATGTAGCCATTTATAACTACAAGAAGGCCCTCATGTTCCTGGATGGCTCATTTAGGAAGAAATAATACTTTTGCAATTCAAAAATAAGTCACTGTGTCACATCAGGGCAGCTGGGGCAGTTTAACTCCTGGGCGGCCATCAGATTCCTTAAACTTTTGTGGATGTACAGACAGTGTAATTATGTTAACATGTATCCAAATAACATGTATAAACATTATTGTAACAAATCTTATCAATTAAGCTTTATTTTTCCAGTCCAAAAATTCCATAGCTAATCAGTATTGTACTTTATTTTGTCTTGTTTTCATTTTCAGAGTCCCAAAAATCCATATCAAACCCATATCTATTATTGTACTAAAAGTTTTAAAATTCTGTAAAAATGTCAAGATCAAGTGATGTGAAATAAATAAATGTCAATACATGTATATACATTTGTGTACCTATAGGTTTGACGGCAATCTCCCCTATGTATGTTTGAGAAGTAAAACTAAAGAAAACGGAATGAACCTTATATATACTCGTTTAGACCAAGGGGTCTATCCCAGGATTTAGCCATTTTGACAGCTGCCTACATGTCCAACAGAAATCAGTATTTATTACAGTACTAACCAATGTATAACATAAAAATTAATTCACTGACATAATACTCATAGCTGAATAAGAAATACATAACTTTTTATTTTCAATATATTGACTAACATTATAATAAGAATGGGGAATATCTTAATCATTATGAAATCTATCCTAAAAACATTACCTCATTTTTTAGATTTAGAGAAAGATTGGTAGGTATCTTTTGTTTATATGTATCCACTTCATATCTGTTTAATGCAGTGTACTTTCTGTTTGACGTACCACACCGATGTCTCAAACTCATAGTTCCTTTCATTATTAATCCATATATAAACACTGTTATGTCTATATTTGTGTTTTTTTTTCACATTGTTAAGTTTGTTATTTTTCTCACATACATGTAACTTAATATATCTATTTTTATATTAGGTTTTGAACTATTCAATGTTTATCAAAATTAATCCAAGCATTGGTCACAACTATGTCCTGTTTTTAGATTATCTGACTTCAAAACTTCCCTAGTTTGGAATCCAATGTCATTAATACTTTATAAAATTATGATACATGGTTTGTCTTGCCAGAGATTTCAAGATTGAATATCTTTTATGTAGCTTCAAATCAGATCTGATGTTTGGATATGATAATGTAAAATGGTGACAAAAATTAGAGTATTTTAGCTCTAACGAGCAAACTCAAACTAACCAATTCACTTCAATATAAGAAATACTGCAAACAAAAAACCTGGATTGGTTATTTTTTTTATTTAAGTTTATCTTAAAATTGTTTGACCTTACTGAAAGTAAATATAGAAAGTGCTACTATTTTTAACTTACTTTCACCAATTAACTTTAAAGGAACTCCACTTAATAGGTTAAATAATATGAAGGGATAAAAACTATTTTTAGAGATTTGTGTACCAATATAGCCAGAACTCAGCAAATGTGGGTTTTTCCAAGCTTTCCCCAGTACAAACAAACTTTTACTGTTTTAGCTTCAAGGTGCACTATCAGTTACAATAGATTAATCAACCTTTTGGGCTTAATTAAAAATCGAAGCTTAGTGTCTGTAAAAGTTTGTTTGTACCCCTGGATTACCTGAGAGAAACCCAAAATATTCTTAATTCCAAATTAAGTCTATTAATGAAAGTCTAGACCAATAACTTGCATGTAAAACTTGAAATCATTTGCTCTCTTACTTTTTCAAAAGTCATGGTTTTTATTATGAAAATTAATAAAAAAAATGAGAGCAAAGTCGGGCTAAAAATCAGTCAAAAAGTTGCTTACCACTTTAATTCTGAGTATATTTCTTAATCATCTGTTGCATAGCTTACAATTTTACGTGCTTAAGTTGATCTATGTAAGAATTTAAAAATTTCATGTTTTCAAGCATTTTGACCCCAGTGGAGTTCCTATTACTTTCAGTATTAAAATAAAATTAAGATTTCAAGTCATAATATAAGACATACTATTTCACTTAAAATGGCACTCTCAGAAATTTTAATGAACTTTCTTTTTTTTTTTTTTTTTTTACATTGCACTGTAAATAAAATGGTGATTAATCCATATGTATTTAAAATTTCTGACTATTTATCCTATTTCATTATATTTTCCCATTAACATTTCTTCACTAAGTAATTTACCACTATTGCTGTTATAAAATGAAAATTTCAAGTTTGTTTGTCAAGATTCTATTATTTTTTTGCCAAAAATCAATCCTAAAATATTGTACATTTGTATATGAAAAAATTATCAAGTTTTTCACAGTTATAAATAACGCTCCATAAATGCATTTTTGCATACCCACAAGAAGTTAAACAAGAAAAAAATAACAAATACATTAATATGAAACACTGTAGCATGTATAATTTATGAATTGGATCAAAATACATCTAAATATTAAAGTTTAACATTGTTTTGTTAAATCGGACAATAAAGTATATGACATTGAATGTTTTATATTTGTACACCTAATAACAATCTAGTTGTATGCCGACTGTTTATAACAATTTATACAAATATTGACAATTTATTAAATATATTATTGCATGTCATATTATCATTATGATCTACTTTAGTCAGTGTATCAAGTTTATCTCAAGTCGAGACTTTTAAAGGCACATTAAGACTTAAAAATTCCATAATTTTTTATTTTTGAACAACTTTTTATTTTTAGTGTCTAATGTGCCAGTTTAACCTTAAAGTTACTCATAATGGCCATAAACCTGAGCCATATCTTTGGTTTCTTTTGTGTTTTGGCAATAAATACAGTTCTAGTGAACATACAATTTTGTTTACATTTTGCCAGCTTAATAACAAATTATTTAACTTTCAGTACTCCCGTATTTTCATCAGGCGATAAGCATCTTATTATTATATTAGTACAGTACTGGACACGCGAAACCCGCACAATTCGCGTATTCGCGGCGAACTCTCATGCTTTATAACGCGAGCGAATTCGCGGCAACTTGAGACAATCGCCGCGAATTCAACTCGCGGCGATTTTGCCGTGAACATTTGCCGCGATTCGCGGGGAATAATACATGTTCATTTGTATAATAAATGTAGATCTATTTATAAGTGTAGTCTGTGAACTTGAAACCAGATATACATGTACAAGTACGAAAATTAATTAGTAGATCTACATGAAGTTGTATCAAGAAAATCTTGTAATTTGCTAAAATGCCCTTTCTCTATTTATCTTTGATGCCAACAGCAAATATAAATAACCACGGCGAAATCAAATAACACCGTTAAAAACTTTCCGTGAATGGCGGAATCATGACCTCAATGTATAAATGCGACGCAGTACAAGTATGCGGCTCCATCTGCAGGTAAATAGTGTGCATGTACACGTGTAAAACTATTTTTAGGGGGGGGGGGGTACATATTGAGTTTAAAGTAGAGATATAAATATAATATATGTGTAAAAAGATATTTAGTTTCATAAAAAGATACATAATTGATACGACATTAACTTGTTCATTTCTAAATGTAGTGGATCACCGGGACATTTCGTTCTCTCGGGTGATCATTACTCAATTTATTACACGTTTGTAAAAAATAACACACGCAAGATTTGTCTGCTATAATTTCTGAATGGCGGATATTTGCACCCCTGTTTTAAAAATGTTAAAATATTTAATTGTTAGTTACCGAAAATTATCGCCGATTGTTGAAATTCCATAGCGCTAAAAGACACAAAAACACTCGCGCAAAAAGAAGCATCCATAAATAAAAGGAATATAATGTTTCCATTGTTAAATAATAAATACAAAATTTACACACGAAATGACCTCTGACAAATGACTGGTCGGCTCTTCTGAAGAATCTGTGAATCTTTGATGTTTACACACCTGTAGTTGTTGCCGAATCATCAAAGAAATGCCGACACTCGATTGACTTTCACCTCTTTTTTATATATCAGAAAAAAACTGTCATTTCTTTTTGTCAAGGAATGATTACACATGTTTAATTATTGCTCAAGTAAAAAAAATGTTGGATATTGATTGTGTCAATTATTGACATATTATTAATCGTAAGTGCATTTTGATTGTGATATTTTATTTACATTTTAATGATCTTGAAGGTAAAGAATGTCAATTTAAGTGATAAAACTTTTACAATTTTCAACAATCCTAATTAGCGTATTAGACGTAATAATTAGTTACACCTGTGAATCGGTGCTAAATGTCGCTTTGCATTGTTCTAAAAATAGAATATGTGCGAAAGTAAACAATGGATTTTAATTACATTTGTATTATTATCAAAATAACAATTGGACAATTTGTTATCGTGCGTTCTTTGATGTAGTACCAATTACCTTTTGTAATTTCAATCTCGTTTTATTGTTAACTAATTTTCACCAGCACCTGATTGCTTTGTTTTAATATACAAAATGTATACGCTGTACATGTTCAAATGCTAAATATTTATAAATATACAAGACGTTTACAAGATTTTTTTAAAGTTTTCAAAATTAAAGACCACGGGAATTAAGGACCAAGTAGTACTTTCTAATACAATTATTGCTGAAGATTCGCCGTAAATTACGGCGATACATCGCGGCGATTTTTCGTGACCCGCCACGAAATTCGGCGAACTTGCACGCGGCGATGTTTTACCGCGAAGTGTCCCGTCGCGACATAGACTACACTCGCGGCATAACGCGACTTTTGCGGGTTTCGCGTGTCCAGTACTGTAACTGTTTAAAGCACATATCTTCCCTCTTTACAGACCTTCCATTATGGACCAGCCCACTTTAAGAAGCATGATTAAGCTAATTCCCTGCTAATTAATTTGTTTTTATAACATAATTTTGTTATTACCTTGAAAAGTTCATTTTTCATTTCAAAATGTCCATATGTTTCATCTGGTATATAACCTTTGTAACCATCAGCCCTAAAAAAGAACATTTTTCTAATTTTATAAATATTACATACATGTAATATAGTTTTTTTTTAACATAAATTACTTATAAACCTGTAAACACCTAAAAATCCTGAAAGAAATTTATTCCTGACTTTTTATCTATATGTATCTTAACCTTAGTGCAGTAATGGGTTAAGTCCTTCTAAATATAGGGTTAAGTCCTTCTAAATATAATAGGAGTTAACCAGTTCTTGCACTAAGGTGACAATTTGTTTTTGCATTGTTCCTGCAGCCGACTGATACAGGTAAAACACAAATAACATCATCTTCACTCTACTCATGATACTGTAAATGGAGAAGTTATGACAGTTTTCATACTAAATAGAACCTATGAAAATAACGATTACCTTTTTCTGGAAAACACATACACATACCTGAATTTTTTTCCTTTTGCTCTGGATTGTTGGAAAACAATATACATTACCGTATAAGTACTTTTTTCTGCAGGAACTTTATTTCTGCTATTTCTGCGGTTTATAACGACACCGCAGATTTAAAAACCGCAGAAAATAAGCCTTTCGCTATGTCTACATATATGTCGAAATATGTCAACTACCTGTATTGTATAATTACATTACTATGTACCGTTATCAGCTTTTGTAAATGGGAATAATTTTTCTTTATGTATCCGTCATGAATAAAATATTAGAAAAAAAAGTAACTTTACTTGTTCTTTTTGTTTAAAAAAAATATCATGTTTGTATGATTTTCGCTCACCCTAAGCTTGATTTATTTTAAAAATGAAACTATTATAGTTAGACGGGTGTAATCAACATACCCTTTTGTATTTGTACAATATATTATGTCTACGTGCGATATTAACATTGTTTATTTTTCACACTTCATATTTATACACATGCAGTATTACAGTTAATTTTTGTCATTGCACGTTGTTGATTTTTGTTTATTAAAGTTTTGTTAATTGCGTTCATTGAACGCCGCCTTTCCATGTTGATCTTGTTTATCATATTTTATATACCGATACATGGTGATCACGATGAACACACATTATAAGCCGTCTGCATGTTTACCGGAAGTAATGTACATGTTACATCAACATATCTTGAAATGTTGTCTGTTTGTATCGGTTAATTTTGTAAAAATATCTTAATTAAAACGCAGAAATTAAAAACATCAATGCAAGAATGATGACACCGCAGAAATAAGATACGCAGAAATTTAAAACCCCTTATTTTAACCAAAATCGCAGAATTTTAAGCCCGCAGAAATAAGTACTTATACAGTAATAGTGTAGGCCATTGCCTATATGGTTTATAATAAGCTACGCCACTGACATATTGATCACAAATAATTATAAGCCATAAACAAGATATATACCATAGGAGAAGGTCAAGGAATTCATAAAGTTGTATCCTCCCTGGCTCATCATAACTACCCTGGCTGTGCTTGATTCTGTGCATCAACTTCATTGGTGATATTGTCTTATTGCACATCTGTTTGTTAAAAAAAAAGAAGAATATATTCCAAACATACTGAATGGGCATTTTCAAATTCCATTTCAAAACAAGCCATTAATTATTTTGGTATTATTAGGATGGACTTCAAATCACTTGCTCCACACCACTGTAGGATCGAATCCCAACAGGGACTTTTGATTCTTTCATTGGAAGATACGATCCAGCTAGCTTTAGGGAGATCATTGGTTCTACACTCACTCAGCTGCCAACATGTGTTTGAAATAAAAACAGGAAGGAGCACCTGGTGTCACCTGTGGTCTTCCTTCACCACTAAAGCTGGAAAGTCATTGTATGAAGTTTACAGTGTTGGTGTGACTTAAAACTCATCCAAATAAACAAAACAAAATGCTTCATTAGTGTCATAACCAGTTATATCGCACCAATGTGTTTAAAGTGGCATTCAAACCCACCATTTCTGGAACAGGAGTCTGATTCTTTACCACTAGTCATGCAGTGGTTAGACTTTTCTTCTGATTAGGTAATGATTTTAATCAGCCAAAAATAACACACCTTACTCAGTTAAGTCTAGGCCAATGATTACTGATATTTCTGTTACTTTTTATATCAGCTTATGTCAGTTATGGGCTATATTTGGTCTTTGAAAAACTTTACAATTTAACAAAAGGGGAGTAACTCTTAAATGCTTACTGGGTTATTTGCATCCGGATTTATCTCTTATTAGTAATTAGAGTTAAATACAGAAATTTAGTATTCATATAAATCTTTAAAATAAGCGTAGCTAATTCTATCTGAAAAATAAGAAAAATAATATACAATAATCTCTGAGATAAAACCAATTAAAATATAAGCTACAAAATAATTTACATTTTACAGTGGTGAAGTTCTCTTTTAATGGAATTGAAAGTGATAAGTCTTTGCTACCAGTATAGAGCCAGACCATCCTGACCCAACTCTATACTGTTAGCTGATCAACCTAAAATTTTCAATTTGATATCCCCAAAACTGAAAATGGACAATTAAAAAAATTGAAGCTGGACAAGTCCATTTTAGAAATCAAGCAAGGGGTAACATACAAACAAGTTGACATACCTTCAGAAGTACATGTTTATGTAAATTTATTTGTTCCTGAGGCACAATGTGCCTTTGAAATACAAAAATGTCTGCATACCTTTAAAGTCCTCAGCAGGACATGTTCACTCAGCATCATTCCTTTCATATCTCCTGCTTCATAAGCTTGATAAGCCACCCTGGCATTATTGATGTCTTCATACCTATAATGTGACGTAAAGGTAGTGAAATGTAAACAAAGCAGTTTTTGGACTTCCATAAAAAATACTAAATCCCTACCCAGCAAACACATGACGTTAGAATAACGTCAGATTACCGTTAGATTTTGGTCACGACGTCGGCGACCAAAATACGACGTAAATCTGACGTCCAAAAGCCGATGTCTATTAGACGTTTCTTTTTGACGTCATACTAACGTCAGGTTCTGGTCGGTTTCCTGACAGTAGGTAAAAAATTAATGAAAGGTAATCGTTATTCGCTGCATACATGTGACATCCCGGCGGGATTTAAAAAAATCCCGATATTTCGACACTGATCCCGATTCCCGATATTACAGCTTGAATTCCCGATATTTAAAAATAAAATCAACATAAAAAAAAATCAAACACAGCACCTATATCTAAAATGTAAACCGTGCCTCCGGGCATTGATTGTTATCTGTCCATATCCTAAATTATAAAGGATTAAATGTTGAGTCGCTTATTGACAGCAAGGTGATGTAATAAACAGTTCCAATACCCAAAGTTATTCTCACATGTTTAACTTAACACGTGTTGTGTGTCAGTCAATTGACCTCTTTTGTAATTTGGCAGTAGGTATTACACGCTACGTCATCAAAACTACCCTGTAAATTTACATGAATGCAACCTTTGATTTTCTTTGATTAGTGCCGCACTGATAAAGATAAAAGGTGAGCAGAATCATTTAAAGTGGATCATTCAAAAACCTGTTCGAGATGTCTAATTAACCTATTTTTAGTGAGTGGGTATTTTTTTTGTTTTGTTTAGGAATTACACAATCATCGAGGCAAAAATGTGGATTATATTAAAGGAACGATTCTTGCATTTATTTTGAGTCTTCTACTTATGTTATGTAATTTAACTGTCAGAGTCTTATGTTCATGAATAATTGAATAGTATTAATATTGAATGACTGAAATGACAGGTATAATTTTTCAAACTGAAAAGAATGAAATGTGAAAATGTGACTATTTTAGAAATAGCCTGTATGACTACACTTATTTATTTATCTATTTATTAATTTTTTGGTGAAATAAATTAATATTGATCAACAAAAAAATCATAAAAAGTATAATCATTTAATGATTTTGAGAGAAATATAGATTCTTTGAACCAAATTTGCCAAACACGCATTAAAATTCGAGTCGATGAAAAAATCCAGTTTTGAGCCTCAAAATCCAGCTGAAAATCCAGATTTGGCCCATTTCATTTGTCACATGTATGTCGCTGTTGTAATCATTTAAACTTTTTTTTAAATGTTATTTGGCTTACAAATTAAGTGTATATATATATATATATACAAGTGCCTTTCGAAGACCACGTGCGCGGCGCTGCAACCTAATAAAACATATAGGTGGCGCTGTATATAGGTTAATTACATGTGTTATTGTTATTGAATCTATTTATAGCCACAGATCTGTTAACGAGTTCCAATCATTTAACGTTACAGTATTATCTTTTGTGGTACATTATATGTATCAAAATCACGAGTTTTTAATAGTTCTTCAATATTTAATCAATGTGACAGGAAAGGGAAAGAAAACATTATTATAATTAGAATCTACAGCCACGTGGATGGAAAATTCAAATTCGTAGGCGTTTCGTATGTCAGAAATCGGGATGCATTGATAAAGTGAATATTCCAGATTTTCTTGAACAAAAAGGTCAGTTCAATTTATGTAAATTTATTTCTACTTTGTATTTGAAAAATAATTGCATGCATTCTTAGATTTAAGTATCATTATTTGAACAGTTGAAGCAAAATGTCACACAAATTCGCGATAATGTTTGATAATAAATCATTTCAAATTTTGCATGTTTTAACTCTGCTCGTGAAGAGTTTATAATGTGCCTTTCAGTATAACCAAAGAGAATGCTTAGTTTTCATATTCTTGTTAAACTATGATGTTTTTGTCACTTAAAATCTGAGAATTAAGAATGAATTGATACGATTTCGAGCATTTCGGACCAAGACGTTTCAGTCCTAAATAACCCCAAGACGTTTTGGTTTCAGACATTTCGGCATTTTCCCAAACGGTCCAATTTTTGATCAGAATAAATCTTACCTTAATGTGTTTTACACCAGATTTTAATATCATTCTAATAAATGAACGGGAAATAAATGAAAGAGCGAATTGATTGATTATGTAATATAGAACGAGGCTTCATATAATCATAAGTAGGAAAAATGTGTTCAAAACAACATAAACTTTTTAACAAAACGTAGTACATAAACATACATTTATTATCAACAATTTCTAAACACTCTTTAATTTGAAACTATGAAAAATTTAAGACTTGCGTAACTGTTCTATTTCAAAAGTAGAATATAAGTTATTCATTATTTCATAAGTTAGAATATAATTTTCTTTTCAGGTAGTTCAAGCGTTTGACATGCTCTCAAAGGTCGGAGGGGCAGAAATACGTGATAATGTAAAAAGAAACATGAATCATGGGAAGGTAAGATTTTGTAAATTCTATTACATACTATAATCCATACTAAACTAGAGTTTTAAAGCGTTTTTTTTTAATTTTCAGTATTTATGATTATCATCATTACCATTTCCTTAGCTGTTATTCTAAATCTTAATGCATTTTTGTGTATTTTTTTTAATTTAAAATACTTTTAATTTTTGTTAAAGCTCACTTCTGAAAAGCTAGCAAAGTTGTTCATTAATTTAAGATAACTTTCAAAATTTCATAAGGGCAGATAACCATGAAAAAATTTTTGCTTGTAATTTTTCCAATTTTCATAAATTTCTTTTTTTTTCAGTGAAAATGATATCACAAACGTTATTGGACATTAACATGTTACATACTCCGGACAGACGAGGGCTGGTGAGAGAAGGTCATATTAAAGGCATCACACCTCTAAATTCGTGCTAATTCTCGTGGATATTTAAAAGTACATTTGTGTATAACTTTGTGAAGTAACTAAAAGGAAATAATTTATACGTTAGTGACAATTATCAAAAGGAGGTCAAAATATGAAAAATACTACTAAATGTTTTAGTAATGCTGTAGAAATATAGTTCAAATACTGAATATCTGTCATTAATTGCTTGAAACGTTATTATCCGAATCTTTTAACTTTTCTTAACATTATAATATTTTCATTATTTTGTTTGATAAGGCAAACTTTGATAGAAATATACATACATTGTTTTGTTCATTAATATTGATTTCTTAGTTTTATTTATGCCATTGTTTTTGAAATACTTTTTGTATTGTTATTAACTTATTTTATGTTTTATTTGGTTTAGTTTATGAAAAGTATTTAGCCTTGCAGAATTAACTAAAACTGTATGTATCAGCTTTAAATTGCAACTTTTATCTTAAATAAAATAAACCATAAAAACATATTTTTGCTTTTTGTTATACATTTCATTGGATTGAGAGTTACTTAAAAGAATGAGTTACATTACATTTGATCAAATCAGGATTGGCCAGAAAATATTTATAACATTGTAAACAAGGAGGATTAGGGAAATGATCAGATTAAGGTCAGAAAATGGTCAAGTTTAGGGCAGAAAAAGGTTAAGATTTAGGTCGGAAAATGGTCAGATTGAGGTCGGAAATTGATCAGAAACTGGTTAGATTTAGGTCGGAAAATGGTCAGATTGAGGTCGGAAAATGGTCAGAAACTGGTTAGATAACGGTCAGATTTTGGTCGGAAAATGGTTAGATTTTGGTCAGAAATAGTTAGATAATGGTTAGATCCTGACGTCTATCTGACGTCAGATTATTACGTCAAAAAAACTTTCAAATCCGACTGTTTTTCCAACGTCAGAACCTGACTTAAATCTGACGTCAGTAGGACGTCTTGTGTTTGCTGGGTATACATGTATTCAATCCAATTGCCAAATATCAAATGAAGCTAAAGATAGTTCATCTATGATTACCAACAAGCAACTTTTTGGAAAATGTTAAAGAAACTAAAAATAAAAAGTTTTTGAGAAATAGAAATTATAGCAATTCGAGGACTTCATGGGCCTTTAAGTGTGTTGATGACAATGTTGCACATATAGCTCAATCAGTTAGAGCACAAGATTTGTAATCTCGACATTGTGGGTTTGATTCCTGGTCAGGCCAACTAATATTCTCATCAGTCTTTTGGATGAAACTTTACATTGAATTTCCTTGTATGAGTGCTTAAACACTTGGCATGCAGAGTAAAACTTCTGGAATTTGGGCATCTTTCTGTATCTGTACTTTGCACTATCCTCCAAAATCTAAAATGACTAATATTCTTCTGGAGGACTCGTCCTTTGGCCAACCAGTGACGAATATAAATAATTTCAAATTCACACACACACTGACATTTGTCTTACTTGAGAGCCTTGAAATCCAGGAAGCCGACACATCTACGGAAGACACAACTGTTCCAGTCAGCTGTATGAAGATTCTGTGTTAGATGTAGGGCTTTATATAACAGCTTATAGTCCAGTACTTTAATTGTCTCCTGTAAATTGATAGGAAATAATTAATGCAATATATAAAGAATACTGAATGAGTGTAGGTTCAATACTAAATTTATTGAATGCATTGAAATTTATATGTAGAGGATATTGAATAAGTAATGGTTCAAAACTACATTTCATTGAATGAATTGAATAAAACCATATTATACGAACAAGCATAATAATGTTTTATTCAATGAGTTCAATAAATAAATTTAGTCTTGAATCTACACAAATATAATATTCTATTTATCACATATCTAAAATAATAAGTTTGCATTAAAAACTAGAAATGTGTCCATAGGACATGGGTGCCCCCACATTCCACTGATTTGTCAATCTTATGTCTCTAGGTCAATTTTTTTTTTGGCTACATGTGCCCAAGTTGAAAACTAAAAGTCATTTATTAAGTAAAAGGGCAAATACTACAAATACTAAATAAATCCATAAGAAAACCCCAAGGTGCATAAGTACACATGCTGACCAACATTCTTGTAAACTTTCAGGCCTACAGGTCTTAAACTTTTTGAGTTATGGCAACACAAGTTAAATATTGTAAAAATTGTCAAGGGCAATAACTCTTAATCTACACGAAAATACCCAGGTGCACAACTACACATGCTGAGCAACATTCCTGTAAGGTTTCATGACTCTAGGTCAAATACTTTTTTAGTCAGTACAACACAAGTTGAAAATTGGAAATTTTTACTAATTCAAGGGCAATAACTCTAAAGATACTAAATATATCCACACAAAAATACTCAGATGCACAACTACACATGCTGATCAACATTCCCGTATTACTAAGGTTTCATGACTCTAGGTCAAATATTTTTTTGAGTTACGTGCGACACAAGATGAAAATGGGAAATTTTTACTAAGTCAAGGGCAATAACTCTAAATATACTAAAAATATCCACAGGAAAATACCCAGGTGCACAACTAAACATGCTGAGCAATATTCTTGAAAGGTTTCATGACTTTAGGTCAAATATTTTTTTAGTTACGTGCGACACAAGTTGAAAATTGGAAATTTTACTAAGTCAAGGGCAATAACTCTAAAAATACTAAAAATATCCACACGAAAATACTCAGGTGCACAACTACACATGCTGAGCAACATTCTTGTAAGGTTTCATTACTCAATGTCAAATACTTTTATAGTTACGTACGACACAAGTTGAATATTGGAAATTTTTACTAATTCAAGGGCAATTACTCTAAAAATACTAAATATATCCACACAAAAATACCCAGGCGCACAACTACACATGCTGATCAACATTCCAGTAAGATTTCATGACTCTAGGTGAAATATTTTTTTAGTTACGTGCGACACAAGTTGAAAATTATAAATTTTTACTAAGTCAAGGGCAATAACTCTAAAAGTACTAAATATATCCACATGAAAATACCCAGATGCACAACTTCACATGCTGATCAACATTCCTGTAAGGTTTCATGACTCCAGGTCAATTACTTATTGAGCTACGTGCGACACAAAAAGGGAACAGACGGACAGACAAGGGTAAATCTAAATGCCCCCCCCCCCCCCTTTAGTGGGGGCACAATTAAAGATATTTTTTTTGTGTGCATTGACTAAGGTGTTATGCAATGAAATTTATAAAATTAAAGTTATTAATATGTTTCTTAGATATGTGAAAAATGAACTCAATAGCAATTATAAACAGAGGCTATGAAAAATAAATATCGCAGTTCAATTCCTTTAAAGGTGTTACAATATATCTCTCTTAAAAACATATATTTTCGCCAATTTCTGAAAGAATTTTTCATTTGTTAATTGCTGCAGTCCTTCTGATTTGAAGTAAAATCTGAATGTATATGGAATATGTTATTAGGCTCTAGTATCAAAAGTTGCATGAAAGATATAAAGTTAAGACTGATACCTGTAAGGAAAGTCCATTCTCTTCTGTATTGATCTCATCTGTTAGATTGTTCTTGAAAAGGTCAACTGGAAACTGAAACATAAAGAAAATTTATGCAGTTTTAAGGCAGTCAAAGGGCAACTAAAACCTTGACAAAATAAATATACATGTAGACTTGAAAATGTCAAACAGAAACTGGAGTATTAAACTATTAACAAAATATATAGTATTAACAAAATATATAGTCTTAAAAATGTCAACCAGAAACTTGAAGCTTAACAAAATATATAGTCTTAAAAATGTCAACCAGAAACTGGAGTATAAAGAAAAAATAAACAGCCTGCCAGAAAGCAAAGTATGTACAATCTTTAGAAAATGTCAATCAAAAACAGTACTAAAGTATTTACAAAAATAAATATATACTGCCCTTTGAATAATTATGTTAACCAGAAACTGATAAAGAAGTATTAACAAATTAAATAAGTCAGACAGAATAAAATACAAAATGTATAAACAACATAATTAAATGCTGCTTTAACCCATTACTTCAAGTCAACCAGGAATTAAAAATTAATATTATTAGACATGTATTATTTGTTCACAGACAAGAGAACATACTAGTTTAAAAATGATAGACTTGGTTTGGCAAAATTGACAATCTGGTTATTCATATACCAGTAACAGTATTACTGTAGCTAATATATTTTAAATATGACATTGTGTATGTTCCATAACCATAATCAAACTCGGTTTTTTGTTTGTTGGAACAAGATCTTTCTGTCTTAGAATATATTTCATTATTTCACAAGTCTAGAATATCAAATACACTCACTTTAAGTATTTGCTAACAAGAAATTTGTTATAAATTGAAACTGACAAATTATTTAATAAACCATACATAAAAGACTAGTGATCAATCTATTTATTCATTACTCTACTCTAATGTAACTATTTACTAATGTAAATTTATTCTGCTCATTGTGTCAACTTTAATTCATTAAAACCTCGGTCTCAATCATTTAAATTGATTGAATACATTGAAATAAAAAGTAAATATGACCGCTCAATCTAATTATACCCTAATAATGAAGAAATAATTGTCAAAATTTGTTGAGAAAGTAAAATTGTAACAACACTGATTTTTTTCATAATGGTTCTAACTGGTTTATTATATCTTTTTATTAATTTCAAATTAAAGGGGTTTCACTGAGGTCAAAAAAGCGTTTCATAGATCAACAGGGGTGCTTAAAAATGAAAAATATGAAAAAGATAATTATTATAAGAAATATACTCAGAACTAATTGAAAAATTATATTAATAAATGAATATATAAGAGCGATACTATGCCCAATAAATTTGTATATAGTGCGATACTTAGCCCAATTATAGTTAAAAGGTATTATTAAACAGTCTTTTTTATTTTTAGGTCATTTTGCACAATGTAAAATGTTTATTCTGTAAAAGTGAGCGGACGATCGATCTGAAATTTTTCACACAAATCAAATGGTATAAAAATCACGAAAATAATATTTTCAGTTCTGACACATACATGTATGTCCAAAACCTCAGTGGAGTCCTTTTCATAATACCTTTCAGTAATTTTAATCTTTTTTTTTTTTAGAGACTTTTTAATTATAGGATTGAGACAAACCTTATAAGTGAATTAATTAAGAAAACAATAGGGAAGCAAATCACAACATAACAAACTCTATATTAATATCAGCATATTCCAGTTTTGAGACATGTTCCAAAATGAATATACCAGAAACCTGTTCCAAAATGAATATTCAAGAAAACTGATAAAAAGTATGTTTAACTGGTTTGAGCGTAGAAGTAATTTTCCTGACACCATTTGGTTTAATGACATCATATCTGATGTCATATATCACATGTTAGCATTCCTTTTTTTGTGTGTTTGATAGGGGAATAGAGTGAATCATGTTAGAATGTAAGCCTGGTGATTTGATATTTGGTGGAAAAAAATATATATAATAATTATTATAGACGTTGAAATATGAAATTTTTTTCGAAACGGCTTATATTAAGTTTTTTTGATATATATGATCAGTACATGTGCTGGGATTGTCAAATATGCATTTTATTTGGATTTTAAAGGCGTTTTGAGCTCCACACCCCAAGTGTCTGTGAGTATGAAGGGCTATGTATAGACCTCATTATGTACAGGTAAGTATGAAGGGCTATATATAGAGCTCATTATGTACAGGTTAGTATGAAGGGCTATATATAGACCTCATTATGTACAGGTAAGTATGAAAGGCTATATAAAGACCTTGTTATTACATGTAAGTATGAAGGGCTATATAAAGACCTTGTTATGTACAGGTAAGAAAGAAGGGCTATGTAAAGACCTCATTCTGTACAGGTTAGTATGAAGGGCTCTATATAGACTTCTTTATGTCGGGCAAGTATGAAGGGCTTTGTATTGACCTCATTATGTACAGGTTAGTATGGGGGCTATGTATAAACCTCATTATGAACAAGTAAGTATGGGGACCCGGACTATGTATAGACCTAATTATGTACAGGTAAGTATGGGGACCCGGACTATGTATAGACCTAATTATGTACAGGTAAGTATGGGGACTATGTATAGACCTCATTATGTACAGGTAAGTATGGGGACTATGTATAGACCTCATTATGTACAGGTAAGTATGGGGACTATGTATAGACCTCATTATGTACAGGTAAGTATGGGGACTATGTACAGACCTAATTATGTAAAGGTAAGTATGGGGACTATGTACAGACCTAATTATGTAAAGGTAAGTATGGGGACTATGTACAGACCTAATTATGTAAAGGTAAGTATGGGGACTATGTACAGACCTCATTATGTAAAGGTAAGTATGGGGACTATGTACAGACCTAATTATGTAAAGGTAAGTATGGGGACTATGTATAGACCTAATTATGTAAAGGTAAGTATGGGGACTATGTATAGACCTAATTATGTACAGGTAAGTATGGGGACTATGTATAGACCTAATTATGTAAAGGTAAGTATGGGGACTATGTATAGACCAGTCACCTTATTATGTACAAGTAAGTATGGGGGCTATGTAAAGACCTCATTATATACAGGTAAGTATAAAGGACTATATATAGACCTCATTATGTATGAAGGGCTCTTTATAGACTTCTTTATGTACAGGCAAGTATGAAGGGCTATGTATAGACCTCATTATGTACAGGTAAGTATGAAGGGCTCTTTATAGACTTCTTTATGTACAGGCAAGTATGAAGGGCTCTATATAGACTTCTTTATGTACAGGTTAGTATGAAGAGCTATATATAGACCTCATTATGTACAGGTTAGTATGAAGGGCTATATATAGATACGCGACTTCTTTATGTACAGGTAAGTATGAAGGGCTATGTATAGACTTCTTTATGTACAGGTAAGTATGAAGGGCTATGTTTAGACCTCATTATGTACAGGTTAGTTTGAAGGGCTCTATATAGACTTTTTTATGTACAGGTTAGTATGAAGAGCTATATATAGACCTCATTATGTACAGGTTAGTATGAAGGGCTCTATATAGACTTCTTTATGTACAGGTTAATATGAAGAGCTATATATAGACCTCATTATGTACAGGTTAGTATGAAGAGCTATATATAGACCTCATTATGTACAGGTTAGTATGAAGGGCTATATATAGACTTCTTTATGTACAGGTAAGTATGAAGGGCTATGTTTAGACCTCATTATGTACAGGTTAGTATGAAGGGCTCTATATAGACTTCTTTATGTACAGGTTAGTATGAAGAGCTATATATAGACCTCATTATGTACAGGTTAGTATGAAGGGCTATATATAGACTTCTTTATGTACAGGTAAGTATGAAGGGCTATGTTTAGACCTCATTATGTACAGGTAAATATGAAGGGCTATGTATAGACCTCATTATGTACAGGTAAATATGAAGGGCTCTATATAGACTTCTTTATGTACAGGTTAGTATGAAGAGCTATATATAGACCTCATTATGTACAGGTTAGTATGAAGAGCTATATATAGACCTCATTATGTACAGGTTAGTATGAAGAGCTATATATAGACCTCATTATGTACAGGTTAGTATGAAGGGCTATATATAGACTTCTTTATGTACAGGTAAGTATGAAGGGCTATGTACTATAGACCTCATAATGTACAGGTAAGTATAAAATGCTATATAAAGACCTTGTTATATATATGTAAGTATGAAGGGCTATATATAGAACTTATTATGTACAATTAGTATGGGGCTTCATCAAAATGTAACAACATCCTGTTGATGTAGGGGTAGCATAACAGGATTGGTTCTTTCTTCTTCCATTTTAACAAAGGACTCACAAACATTTGCTAGTCAGGTATTGAAAATCTCTCACAATTTTTGATAGTCACTCACATTTCACACTGTAGGATGAAATCTGAACCCTGCCTTTCAGCCTTACTAAGGTCTCATCCAAGCTGTTACAGCAAGCTTATGGCAGGGGAATATTAAAACATAAAAACAAGTTTTCTACCACATTAATATTGGAGGGTGACCTGAGCTGTTTAATATTTGTAGATTTATGGTTTATCTAAATAAATGAATCACAACTTCTGTGAACTAAACAGTTTAAATAATATTTGAACCTTTAGCAAATTTATTTAAAGGAGATTAGAAGATTTATTTCGAAAATCTAAACAGATTTATAACTTAAATCCTCAAATCCTAAACAAACAATTAAGAGTTTTACATACACTCAGCTACGAGAGGTTTGAATAATTTATGTATATACTGAAGGAACAGTTGTAACCAAGATTAGATTTTAATATAAATTCTTCTGTGATATTATTCTTACATTTAACATATTAAGACGATATTTAAGTTCAAGATGTAAATGAAAGAATTTAGATCATAAGGAGTTGTAGTTGTCATCTATTTAAAGCCTCTACCCTCACTCTTGATGAATTTCTTAAACAGACTTGTCCAAATGTCACGATCTATCAAAATTTAGCACTTTAATATTAAGGTAAGTACCAAAAATGTACAAATCAAAGTTACAAAGGGCCACAACTCAAGCATTCATGACTAGA